TGCTCCAAAAATATTTCGTTCGCCAAGGGTTATCGACTCCCTGGGGGTTCACATCACCCCCAAAACATATCATTCGTCATAGCAGGAGCCAACGCTTCTCCTCGTGAGGCCCCACTGGGTCCCCAACATGATCAATTTCTACTTACTTCTCGAACGGTTCAGATAACCGAAGAAGACCTTCAGCGTATGATCACGGAAGATTCAACTCGTGCTGCCACTGAATCAGTGGCACCATATATCGCCAAGGTGGGGCATCTCACCCCAGTGGTTCGTGATCGCCTCATCCTAAATGGGGGGCTATCCCATCCTAAAGTTGGGCATCTCATCTCAAGGGTGGTACATCCACTGACCTTTCATCCCCAAGGGGGTGCACATCCCATCTCAAGGAACGAGGATAATCTCCCTACTCAAAAAATAGAACATCCCCAAGGGGGTGCACATCCCATCTCAAGGAACGAGGATAATCTCCCCACTCAAAAAATAGAACATCCCCAAGGGGGTGCACATCCCATCTCAAGGAACGAAGATAATCTCCATACTCAAAAAATAGAACATCCCCAAGGGGGTGCACATCCCATCTCAAGGAACGAGGATAATCTCCCTACTCAAAAAATAGAACATCCCCAAGGGGGCGCACATCCCATCTCAAGGAACGAGGATAATCTCCCTGCTTAAAAAATAGAACATCCCCAAGAGGGGTGCACATCCCATCTCAAGGAACGAGGATTATCTCCCTACTCAAAAAATAAAACATCCCCAAGGGGGTGAATATCAACCAAATAAAAAAGAAAAAGAAAAAAGATGAAGAAGAAAGAAGAAGAAAAAAAGAAGATGAAGAAAAAATAGAAGAAAAAAGAAGAAGAAAATAAGAAGATGAAAAAAGAGAAGAAAGAAGAAGAAAAAAGGAAGAAGAAAAAAGAGAAGAAAGAAGAAGAAAAAAGGAAGAAGAAAAAAGAGAAGAAAAAAGAAGAAAAAAGGAAGAAGAAAAACCAAAAACAATAAAAATAAAAAAGAGGAGGAGAGGGCGCACATGCACGGCACGCGCGCGCTGACGCGCGCCTGCGTCAGCGTCAGAAAAAAAAAAAAAAAAAAAAAAAAAAAAAAAAAAAAGAGGCAGGAGGCGCGCGTGCACCGCACGCGCGCGTGGCCGACACGCGCCTGACGCGCGCGCGTGCACAGCACGCGCTCGTCAGCAGTCCGAAAAAAAAAAAAAAAAAAATTATTGGAGCGCGCGCGCTTTTCAAGGAGCCCTTGGACTGCGTGCTCCCATCAAATCGCGCTCAACTTTCACCGTCCTCCACCAAATTGCGCGTAGATTTTGACTCGCTTCTCCAAATCGCACGAGAATTTCAACGCGCTCCACCAAATTCCGCGAGCTCTTTAACGCACCTACCAAATTGCGTTCGCTATCAACTGGAAAATAAAAAAATAAAAAAAAATTATTTCTCCACGCCATGCCAACGATTAACGCAAGACTACAGCACCGTTCTACTCTCAATACGATCTGGTACCCCTTTCGACTTCGCTCCCACATCGTCTCGAGAGTGGGGGGCTTGCGAGACAACTCCCACGAGCAGATAACTCGCTCCGTCCCACAACCCCTTACAAGGAAACTCCCACGAGGAGCCAACCCCCTCGGGTCTCAAAACCACGGCGAGATAACTCCCACGAGGAGACCATTCGCGCCGTCATATAGCCCGTTGTGGGACAACTCCCACGAGGAGCTAACCCCCTCTAATCTCAAAACTACAGCGAGATAACTCCCACGAGGAGTTCACTCGCTCAATCCTACAGCCCGTCCCGGGACAACTCCCACGAGGAGCTAACCCCCTCTAGTCTCAAAACTACAGCGAGACAACTCCCACGAGAAGTCCACTCGCTCGGTACTACAACCGGCAGCAAGACAACTCCCACGAGGAGATAACTTGCTCAGTCATATAACCCGTTGCAAGGCAACTCCCACGAGGAGTCAACTCCCTCGGGTCCACGAACCCATAGCGAGATAACTCCTACGAGGATACCACTCGCTCCATCCTATGACCCGCAGCGAGATTACCCCCACGAGGAGCCAACTCGCTCGGTACTACAACCTACAGCGAGATAACTCCCACGAGGAGACAACTCGCTCGGTACCCCAACCCGCAGCGGGACAACTCCCACGAGGAGACAACTCGCTCAGAGCAACCTCAATCCGCACGCTCCTAAATCGCGCATCATCCAATGCTCCTACAACTCACCGCGAGACAACTCCCATGAGGAGACAACTCGCCCGAAATTCACTATATAATCGCAAGCTCAAGTTAGCACGATTACAACCATAGAAACACTTAGAGATATTATGACAATCTATATAGCCTGGCCAGCTTGATTACTCAAATTTATCTACTTGTTTTCGATGGGTCCTTCATTAAAACGTGGCCACGGTCCAAACATACTTACGACCCACGAGGTCTAACAAGGGGCATGATCCCCATAAAAAAAAAATCTTGAGAGCCTGATCCCCTCTTCAAGTACGTCACCCACAAGGCTATATGTAAACACATACAAGCAACGCGTCAAAACATTGACAATGTCGATAAAAAACAACTCCCACGAGGAGACCACTCGCTCCGTGCTACTTCATTATCGCGAGACAACTCCCACGAGGAGATAACTCGATCAATTCTATTACCCCAGAGACAACTCCCACGAGGAGATTAATTGATCCGTGCTACTACATTATCGCGAGACAACTCCCACGAGGAGATAACTCGATCAACACTATTACCCCGCGACGAGACAACTCCCACGAGGAGATAGTTCGCTACTACATCGTCGCGGGACAAAACCGACGACTCAATTAACTTATATCGCGGCAACTTTGTCGCGCTATGCGCCAACGCGCATTCACACCCCTCCGACACACGCTCCAACGCGTTTTCGCATACCATTAGGCCATACGCCAACGATCAACTTCTACAATTTTTACTCTCGACACGATCTGAGACCCATCACAACATGGCCCCCACATCGACTCGAGAGTGGGGGGCTTAATGATATGCCTAATTGGGTCAACCCAATGGGCCTACAATTTCTTTACCTACTGGGCTACGAGCCCAATATCGAAGACCAATATCACCGAGGCCCAAACACCTTCAAGTAAGGCTTGGGCCCAACAAAGCAAACCCAACCCGATAAACGACATATAAATAGAGGTTTTACTCATTTTATTAAGGTATGTCCTATTAATTGAACAAGACTACAATACGTATTCTCTGGACTAATTTCTATGATCAGCACGTCTGACTTGAGCGTCGGAGGGGTTTCCGCCGGATCAACCCCCGGCTTAGTTCATGTGTTCTATGATCGCAGGTACCTCAGGATCATCAAGTTGTCAAGCTATTGATCTGCTTTGCTCTCCCTGTTCATTTTCTACACCACCCTAGGTGAGCTATATTTTAGCATCATCAAGTTTCTAACTACGTTTCAGGGGGTGAGTGTAATTACCGATACCATAGGAACCTTAAAATTATTTAAGTATACCTCAGGAGTGTGGGTGTAATTTACCCTATATATTATGGTTAATAGCATTTTGACACCCGTATTTTGCCCGTTATTGCGCTTTACTACCTCAACTAAAACAAGTTGCATGGGCACATAACCAAACTTGCTTTTCTGACGCACACAACCACCTAAGGGAAATATTCCGACGAGTGTTCCCATTTTTCGGCGCACGCGCGATGCACATGTTTAATGTAAGGGTTTTTTTGGTCTTTTCAACTCAAAATTTGTGGGCCATGTTTTTTTCGTTCTTCTCTCTCTTTTTATAAGGGTGAAACATTACTCACAGCTTATAAGCTCTTTATAACAGCTTATAAATTTAGCCAAACACCCTCCAGTACTATATCTATATAGTTGCCGAGTGTGTATATATATATATATATATATATATATATATATATATATATTAATTATTTATGTGTAGAAATTGATTTTCGTTCTGCATTAATAGAAAATTAGGTAGTGGCCATCAAGTAAGAGGTGAAGAGGTTGTTCTAAATTTTTAATGTCTAGATAAAGACATATGAATTGGTCCCTGTCCTTTTTCCAACTCATACATTCAATAAAACTACACATTCACAAAAGGATAATTTAGTACTTTTCTTCTTTAATATACTATCATTTTACTCCTGCCAACAATTTGGTTAATCTTACTTTGCACCCTTAAAATGTAGCATTTTAGTACTTTGCACCCTTGAAAAAAATGAATAGCACTTTACACCATCAAAATACGATCATTCACAATGCACCCTGAATTAAATATTTAAAATTTAATAAGGCAAATCTCATTTTTTATTGGTTTTTATATTTTTCACGGTGCAAAATAACAAATTAAATGGTTGTTTTCTTCTACCTCGAAGCTAATTTCGAGTGTGAACTATTGAGAAAATTATAATTTTGTTTAAAAAAAAAAAAGAAAGCACTAAATTATTCGATTGATAGATCTTTTATTCATTAGCTTTAAAAATTCATCCGATGTGCATTAGCATAATTTATTATGTTTTGAGGGTGTAAAGTGCTATTAATTTTTTCTGAGGAATGCAAAGTGCTAAAATGCTATATTTCAAGGGTGCAAAGGGGAATTAAGCCAGCAATTTTGACAAATATCAAATGCTGACTTAAGTAGTTGTTTTAGTTGTTTGCTGTTATCTCTCTCTCTCTCTCTCTCTCTCTCTCTCTCTCTCTCTCTCTCCTGTGGGACCCGCAAAACTTCCATGGAGGCATGACTCACTAGTGGGGCCCAACAAATAACAGGCCCCCCACGCACACATTACCTCTGCAGGCCGTTAGTGCAAGTAAAATACCAAGAAAGCCCCTGCCAAATATTCTTGTCAACAAACATTTCTTTTAACTTCCTCAACAACAAAAAACCACTTGTTTCAAACATTTGTATGTTTGCCTCACAACAAACAAATCAAGCAACATTTTGCATTCAGATATTGTACTGGTGAGTTCTAACTTGGTAATGATTTTCATGCAATTTAATTTTATTTGTTTGTAATAAATAAAGTTATTATTTGATTTTTAATTATTCAAGTAATTAAATTAGTTAGTAATTGGTTTTGTATATTTTCTACAAAGATGCTTTAATTCAGAAATGGGGAAAAGAAGGGCTTTGATTTATGCAGTGCAGAAAGCTGTCACTTGTGAATCCAAACAAAAGAGAGAAAAGGTACAAAATAATTGTTTAAAAATTATAAGATTAAATAGCAATATAATTTGTTAATATTTTTTTTTTGGTTTATGATCAGAAAAGTCGAAAACCGAGAAGATGGTTCGGAAAGCGGAGGAGGAGCGTCGATATGAATTCTGCGAGAGCGGAAAATGCGGCGGTGGTGGTGGTTCCTTTAGCGCATTCGCCGATGGAGGATGTGAAGTTGATCGAAGCTGAGAATGAACAGAGTAGGCACGCTTACTCCGTTGCTCTCGTGACCGCAATGGCTGCCGAGGCGGCTGTTGCCGCTGCTAATGCCGCCGCGGAGGTTGTCCGACTCAGATCTACCGCCGGTGTTCCCGGCAAGTCGATGGAAGAGACGGCTGCTATCAAGATTCAGACAGCTTTCCGAGGTTACTTGGTACGTCCACATTGTTTTTAGATGCTGTCGTCTACTATCTATTTTATTTTCGAAATTGTTTGCTTTATTCCAATGAAAAATGATAATATTTTTCGGCATCGATTTAATTAGGCGTTATTTCGCCTTTGGTTAATGTAGTAACATTTTCCGGGGTGGCACGGGAAATTTCGCTCTTATGTATCGGATCTGATCTGATCGAATAATATCTTTTTTTTTTTTTTCGAAAGTGCAAAACTGATTCAGTTTCGCTCATAAAATCAGAATTTGGAATGAAGAATCTTGTTCCAAAATCATAAATTTCGAATCCGAATCAGCGAAAAATTTGCATTTTTCTTTAAATTGGTATTATAAGTGTAATTTCCGATTTTTTTTTTTTTTTTTTTTTTTTTGGATTTTCAGAAATATGTTCAAAAATTAAAATCAAATCTAATATTTATTCCAATTCAATTTCTGAAAAAAATATGGACAATCAAAAAAATCAAAATTTTCGCGATTTGTAATGAGAAATATTGTTCCAAAATCAGAAATACTCGGAAATGATTTGGAGGAATTTCGAAAAGTTTGTTCCAACTTTCAATTCCCACCCGTAAACCCCACTACGGCAAACCAAACGAGGCCGTAACTCACGACTCCGAGACAAAAACAAGCTAATTTATACTTGTTTAAAAAAAATATAGGCAAGAAGAGCAATGAAGGCTTTGAAATGTTTCGTGAGGCTAAAATCGTTGATCGGAGGTCAATCGGTCAAACGTCAATCAACCGCCACCTTGAAATGCATGCAAACACTAGCTCGTGTGCAATCCGAAGTTCGTGCAAGAAGAATCAGAATACCGGACAAAAACTCGAACTCGAACCAAATCGAGCACAATCGTGAAAAGGAGCTCGACAAATCAAGGGTATACCCGTAAATTCACATGTCCTTATATATTTAATTTCAATCTCAAATAATAATAATAATAATATTATATATCATTTTTTTTAATGATTAATAGATGGGAGAGAATTGGGATGCCAGCACACAGTCAAAAGAGCAGATTGAAGCACATCTTCATTATAAGCAAGAGGCTGCTTTGAGAAGGGAGCGCGCATTGGCTTATGCATATTCGCACCAGGTAATACAGTAAAATCTCGATAAATTAATAACCTCGTTTAAATTATATTTTTTTTCCCTCTTCCAACTTGAGTACAACGTGTTAAAAAAAATATATCGTTAAATTAAAATTTCGCTATATTAATAGAATTTCGTGGGTTCAGACTGTATTAATTTATAGAGGTTTAACTGTATGTATGTATAGCAAACAAGGAGAATGTCAACAAGCCCGGCAAATCAAACATTCGTTGACCCAAATAACCCGAACGGGGGTTGGAGTTGGCTAGAGCGATGGATGGCCGCCCGCCCGTGGGAAAACGAAAACGGAAACGCCGTCCAAAAAGAAAGTAACATAGACGCCGTTTCGGCAAAAAGCGGGTCGACTCGATCCGTTTCCGTCCGTGGGGAATCCAAGATCCAATCTCCTAATACCCGAAAGCAAGCCCGGCCCAAATCAAAACACACCCGTAAAGTCAGACCTCTAAGCCCGAGATCTGGGGCCGCCGGCTCCCCCTACGACGACGATGGCGATTCTAGAAGTATGAACAGCGCACAATCGGAACTATACCGGAGGAGGAGCGTCTGCGGCGGCTCGTCGGCGAGAGACGACGAGAGCCACACGAGCTCACCCTCGGCGGTCCCGAGCTACATGGCTTCGACGGAATCCGCTAGGGCTAAGTCGCGGCTCGGAACACCCGAGAAATCGTCCGTTTCGGGCGGCGGCTCGGCCAAGAAACGGCTGTCCTATACCGGCTCGCCAGCTGGCGGGAGGAGGGTTTCTGGTTTGGCCAAGACAGAGTACTGATAATTTGTTTCTTCATTCAAAGAGTGTTTTAGTTCAAAGGTGTTGTTTGCCATTGTTAAGGTTTGTTTTTTCTTGGGAGTTGCTTTTTTTTTCGTGTGATTATTATGCTGATGTTAACTACTTTGTGTTGTGTGTATAGTGTAAGTATGATCTTTTACTTGTTCATTTCTCTCTGTAATTTTTTTATATGTACTCATGTAAGAAAATGCTACAACTCATTTGTGATTCTATGTTGTCTTTTGATGCAATTTTTGTTTTTTTTTTTCCTTCTTTTTTTTGTACAATGTGATGTCTCATTTGAACTTAAATTTCTTTATTAGTAATGACGAAACAGTTTTATGTCATATTAATTTATAGAGAAAATTGCACTTCACCCCTAAAAATTTGAAAAATTTGGGGGTTCCCCCCCCCCCCCCCCCCTTCCCCACCCTAAAAATTCAAAAAAGAGATGTCCCCTTGCAAATATGTTCATGTTGCACTTTGTCCCAAAGTCAAACTTCCGGCGTATTTTTTATCTGAATTGACAAAACTCCATCAAATCAAAGGGTATTGCCGTCATTTCACCCTTCCCACCAAATTCAAACCCTAACATCAGTCTCTTTTACACAACAATCGTCAAACACTCTGCTCTCACATCAGCAAATAATTTCAGAACACAAAATAAGGGATTTTAGTCCGAAAATTCTGAGAATCTTTCATTGGTTCTTGATTAGAAAGTTATCCCGCTGTTCCCGTAAAAGGGTTAAAAAATCATGAGATAAGGAACACAAAATAAGACACATGTAATGTATGGTTTCAATTAGAACAATTTGCAATTTGGGAGAGAAAACCCCTAATTTTTCAATCAAAATGTGCAATTTCGCGGATTATATGAATGGAGATTTGAGTTGGGTATGACAAAAAATAGTATATATACCTTGAAATGACCGCAATCCCTTTTGAGTGGACGGATTTTTGTCAATTCCGATAAAAAATACGCCTGAAGTTTGACTTTTGGGGCAAAGTGCAGCAAAAATTGTAAGGGAGCTCTTCTTTAAATTTCTAGGGGGGAAAGTGCGATTTAAAATTTCTACGGGGCGAAGTGCAATTTATCCTAATTTCTATTTCCATTTACATTAATATTTATTTATTTATTTATTATTTTTTATTATTACTATTACAATTATTAGATTAGATCCGGGCAAATTAGAGTTTTTACCCCTCAAGTTTGGATTTGTTCGACCCTACACCCGGTGATAACTACCGGGTAGGTCTTCTGCTGCCACGTGTCTCTTTTTTGTATTTTATAATAAATTCCCCGCTAGGGTTTACCTTTAGGGGTTTTAGAAAAATAAAAAAAAAAGAACACGTGGCAGTAGAAGACCCACCCGGTGTTTATCACCGGGTGTAGGATCGAAGGAACCTCAAGTTTGTATCTATTTCACATTTTTGTCAATTTACTGTTAGTATGTCAGTTAAGTCATTGATGGAACACACTTGATTCCGTTAGTTTTAACAAAAAATTGACGAAAAGGACTTAAAATGTTGAATTTTCGCGAAACAAGAGGGACCAAATGTATTTTTTGTGAACATAAGGGACCAAATATGCACTTTGCAAACTTAAGGAACGAGAAAACTGCATTTTTCTCATTAGATCCTACAAATCCGAATCACCAATTTTGACTTTATAAACACACAACCAATTGGCGATCACATTCTTCCCACCTCGGAGAAAGCGAAAAAAACCTCATCCAATCCAAAGATGGAAACCAAATCATCAGATTCAAAACCACCAACCTCCTCCGACCACCACCAGCCCAGCAGAATCACCCGCCGCCGAATCCAAACTCCGGCATCCGCCGCCGCCGCCGCAGCATTCCCCGAAGAACTCATCGAAGAAATCCTTTCAAGACTCCCGGTCAACTCCCTCCTAAAATTCAGGTCCGTTTCTAAATCATGGCGCGCTTTGATCTCCGACAAGAAATTCATCTCAGCCCATCTCAAAAATTCATCCAAAAACACAAACTTCACCCTCCGCAGAATCATCTCCACCATTATCCTCCCTTATTACACCCTAAAGCACTGTTCTTTACACTCACTTTTATCCGGGCCGTTGACCAACGCCGTTGACTCCGATTACCCGATGAAGAACCCCCAAAACTCCGTTCGTATTGTCGGTTGCTGTAACGGGCTTGTCTGCATCGCCGTTAACGGCAAGCATTTCTTCATATGGAACCCATCTACAAAAAAGTACAAGAAATTGCCCGATGTGGATGATTTTATAGAACAAGGTTTGTTCATCACCAAATACGGATTCGGTTTCGATGAGTCGAACGACGATTACAAGGTTGTCGGGATTTTGTCGGGTTTTTGTAATAGGGACCGATACGAAACTATGGTGAAAGTTTATAGTTTGAGGACCAATTCTTGGAAAAGAATCGACGTATTTAACGACGGTCTTCCGTTCGACGATACCGCGAAGTTCGTGAGCGGGAAGCTTCATTGGGGTAAGAGAAACGGATCCAATTCTAAATGGGATATCGTCTCGTTCGATTTAGCAAGTGGGGTATGCGGGAATGTGGCTCGTCCGAGTTATGTCGAGACCGATTTTTCACCTTCGTTGGGAGTTCTCGGTGGATGCCTTTGCGTGCTTTCTAATTCCCGTAAAAGTAGTGTTGATGTTTGGGTAATGAAAGAGTATGGAGTGAGTGAATCTTGGACTAAAATTGTGACGGTTCCGTATCTTGACGTGCCTTGGGAAGGTCCATACTCGACACCGTTGTGCGTTGGATCGAATGGTGAAATCTTGTTGATGTACGGTTCGAATTTGATGATCTATAGCCCGAGAGATAATCGGTTTAGGCGGCCGAAGATAAGGAACTTTGGTGCGTTTCTTGAAGCGGATGTTTATTGTGAAAGTTTAGTCCCGCTTGTCTAATGATGAACAAGAGTCGCAAAATCGAAATTGTTAGTTATCTCGTTGGCTATTGCTATTTTTCACTGTATAATGTTTTTTTTAGAGGAAAAAACTTGCGAAAGAATCGGCGTTTACAACTTAAAGAATAAAATTCGGTAGCACCGAAGAATTAAAGTTCTCCTTGGATAAAAAATCTAGCTATTTCGCGAGCTGCACGATTGCCTTCTGTCTTGATGTCACAAACTTTGAAAGAATAGTAAGAATAGCTCTTTCTTGTTCCCACATGGTCTTCTAATGGATCTTCTCTATTTTCCTATAAATCTATTTCATTCTCCACTTGCAATATTGGTTAGCTTGTATGTTGAGTTCGTATTGTTTAACACGGGTTCAACCCATTTTTCGATTTTTTTTAACAACTAATTGTTCCCCGACGAAAAAGGACTAATTACACTTCGTCCCTTAAAAATTTCAAAAATTCGCGCATCCCCTTAGAAATTGAAAAAACAGACACCCCTTTCAAAATATATTTATGTTGCACTGTGCCTCACAGTCAAACTTCTGACGTATTTTTTACCTGAATTTACAAAGCTCCGTCCACTCAAAGGGGATTGCCGTCATTTCAGGATATATATATGTAATTTTGTCATACCCAACCAAAATCCCCATTCATATAACTTGCGAGTTACACGTTAAGATTGATGAAAAATTAGGGCTCTTTTCTCCCAAAATTACAAATTGTTCGAATTGAAACCATACATTACATGTGTCCTATTTTTGTGTTCGTTCTCTCATGAATTTTGAACCCTTGTGACTGGAATACCATAATAGCTTTCTAATCGATGAAACAATGAAAGATTCTCACAATTTTGGAACTAAATCAATCCCTAATCTTGTGTTCTGAAATTGTTTAGTGAAATGAGAGTGAAGTGTTCGACGGTCGTTGTGCAAAGGAGAATGTTATGAAGGTTTGGATTTTGAGGGAAGTGTGAAATGATGGCAATACCCTCTGGTTGGATGGAGTTTTGTCAATTCCTGTAAAAAAAAGAACGCCGTAAGTTTGACTTTGGGGCAAAGTGCAACATAAATATATTTTGCAAGGGGATGTCTCTTATTTGAATTTTTAGAGGGGAACATACGAATTTTTGAAAACTTCAGGGAGTGAAGTACGATTTGCCAAAAAAAAAAAAAAATTTGAACTCACGTTGTTCTAAGTGAATTCCATGGGTTGTTCTACCCTAGTCCCATTGAACTCGCGTACAACAACATGAGTTCAACCCATTTTCGTGGTTTTTGTTATGTTTCAATTATAACTTACGCAATACAACGAATGTAAAAACGTAAAAATTTACTTCAGATATGTTGTCGTTGGTGTTGAAATCTAATTCAGGAAATATTCTAGTTCACATTGTTTAATGCGAGTTCAACCAATTTTTGTGTTTTTTTTATAATCGCAATCTTTATTATACAACGAACTTAAACACATAAATTATACTTCAAATCTGATGTCGTGTTTCAAAATCTAGCTCGAAAAATATTCGTCTATCAGAGAATTTGGAAAATTTTAAATTCTAATAGTCAACGAAAAGTGCATGCGAAATTAATTATAATTAGTACTTTAAATTTTTAATTGTTTTTTAGCCCAAAAACAATATTAAATTTCAATTTTAGAGGCGATTAAGTATGTTTAAAATTGAAATTTTGAGGAGTATTTTCTTCACTTTGGAACATCAAGGACCAAAAGTGGAATCAGACTAAACACGAGGGACTAAAAGTGTAATTATCCCGGATTTAACCCTACCACGACAAAGCATAATTCTTCTTCTATTTTTTTTTTTTTAGGGCAGGCGAGAAGAATTTCTAAGCAATCTCGGAGAAATCAAGCAAAAACCTCACTCAACAATGGAAGCAAAACCAGGCTCCAATTCATCAATCTCCGATCATCATCAGCCCAGAAGATTCCGTCGCCGAATCGAAACCCCGGCAGCCGCCGAAACCCTACCGGAAGAAATCATCGAACAAATCCTGCTAAATCTCCCCGTCAGATCCCTCTTGAAATTCACCTCCGTTTCAAAATCATGGCGCTCGTTGATCTCCAGCAACAATTTCATCGAAGCCCATCTCGAATTTTCGAGAAAAGACCCGAACTTTACCCATTACCGGACGATCTCAACCTTCTTGCCGCCCCGTAATAGCAGCGCGAAGCACTGCTCTTTCCCGTCACTGTTTAACGGTAACGGAGTTGTGACGGATGCAGTTGACGTTGATTTTCCGTTTGACTTTCCCAAAAAAATCGTCCGTGTTATGGGTATCTGCAATGGGCTCGTTTGCATAGCCCCTAACATGGGGCATTGGTTCTTGTGGAACCCATCCACTAGACAGTACAAGCAATTGCCTGACGAATGTGATCGGACGGATGTCGTCGTCAAGTACGATTTCAAGTATGGATTTGGTTTCGACGAGTCGACTCGGGACTACAAGGTTTTGCTAGCTCATTCGGTTCTTAGCAAAGGCAATCGATATGAAACGACCGTGAAAATTTATAGTTTGAGGACCGATTCTTGGAAGAGAATCAAGTTCTTCAATGGTAGGCGTCATCCATCGGATTCAGGTGTTAGTGGGATATTTGTGAGCGGAAAGATTCATTGGTGTAAAAAAAATACCGGATCAAATTTAAAGTGCCATATTGTTTCGTTCGACATAGGAAGTGAGGTATGGGGGAATGTGGCTGAACCGAGTTGTGTCGAGAGCGGTTCTTACGATTCACCGTCTTTGGGAGTGCTTGATGGATGCCTTTGTGTGTTGTATGATTTCACGAGAAGTAGAATAGTTGTTTGGGTGATGAAGGAGTATGGGGTGAGTGAATCTTGGGCTAAAACGGTGACCGTACCTTATGTTCACCTTCCCTTGTCGAATCCGTCAATCATTAGACCGTCGTTGTGCGTCGGACCAAAGGGTGAAATCTTGTGCATGGTAGGATCAACTTTGATGGTTTACAACCCGAACGATAATCGGTTTAGGTGTCCCAAAATGAGGAACTTTGGTGCTTTCCTTGAAGCGCATGTTTACTACGAAAGTTTAGTCTCACTTGTCTAATGGTGAACCGGAGAATGAGGCGAATTTAGATTTGTTATGACTTATGAGTGATTATCTTCCCTTTTTTTTTCTGATGTTAATTATATTATTCTTAACCCATAGAAACTCGAATTTTATTTTTCAAAAATGCGGTCTCGATTGAATAGCTCGGCTCTCGTTTGTCGTGGCTCCTTGATGGTTTTATCTTATATTTCACATATAATTTATTTTCTTTGTTTGATTCAAAAAATGGTTTCTTGAGATGATTTCATGAAGACTATATAGTGTATCTTTTGGCCAACTTTTTTTTCCTCTCGCGTCCTGATTTTCTTGCATCTTTCGAGTCGTATTTGTTATGAATTCGAGTAAAAAGGTTTTCTTGATTGAATAGCTCTTTCTTCATCCCACATGGTCTTCTAATGGATCTTCTCCTCTTTGCTTGAATAGGATATTGTTTCGTCTGATTTAGAAAGTGAGATAAGTGCAAGTGTGGCCCCACCGGATTATGTCGAGAGCGATGTTTTTGCAACGCCGTCATTGAGAGCGCTCGGTGGACACCGATACTCATATTGGTACTCATACTGAGTCTAATAACTATACTAATACTAATACTAATACTGCTACAAATGTTAATACTAATACTAATGTTAATACGAATACGTATACAAACACCAACACGTACACCAACACCAACACCAACACCATCGGCAACGCCATCGCCAACTCCAACGCCAACACACACCAACACCAACACTACTACTAATATCAATATCAATACCAATACCAAAATCAATACCAATACTGATTTCAATACCGATATCAATACCACTAATAATACCAATACCAATACTAATATCAATATCAATATCAATACCACTAATAATACCAATACCAAGATCAATATCAATACCACTAATAATACCAATATCAATATCAATACCGATACCAGTATCAATACCAAATCAATACCAATACCAATACCAATACCAATACCAATACCAATATCAATACCAATATCCAATGTTATCAGAACCCGATCGGACACAAAACCGACTAGGCGTTCGGGTCATGGTTGGACCGATTCAATCGGGTTCGACCCGGTTTTTTTTTTTTTTTTTTTTTTTTTTTATTAATTTTAATATTGAAATTAATATATTGTATATATTTTTTATGTTTCACTCTCTCTTTACTTTTATTATTAATTTTTATATATAATCTATTCCCTTTTTTATTATCCCAACACCTTTTTTTCCTTTTATATGTTTTTATTCTTATTTTCTCTTCCATCTTCTCTCTCCTCTCTCTTCTCTCCACCTTCTCTTCTCTCGTCACCTACCCATTCATCTTCATCACTTTCTTTCTCTTTCTTCTTTACAAATATTTCTACTTTCTCTCTCCGTTTTCTTTTCATTTATTTTTCTTCTTCTTCTTCTTCCCGTTGAATTACGGCCACCCACCGCCTAATCTATGGAATTCCGGCCACCCACCGCCTGCTTCACTGAACTCTGGCAACCCACCGCCTGCTCCACCTAAAACCGGCCATCCCTGGTGAATTTCACCCGAATCCCCCCAATAGCCACCAACGAAGTCTATTAGATGAAAACTCGGGTCATTGACCGGTTTCCGGGTTATCCGGTTTTCACTGGTCGAATCGGATTTTTGTGACTTGGCCCGTGTTCTTGATTTGGCCGGTTTTAGGCATCAGATCGGACCAATTTTGTTGTGGGTCGCGGTCGGACCGGTTAGACCGTCCGGTCCGGTCCGGTCCTAATAACATTGCCAATATCAATACGGTTTTTGAGATTCTACAACTTGTGAAATACACCATGTGATTTTAAACCGTAGATTTTTATAAATAACTACCCATTAAGCAAACAGACACATGGATGTGTGTGTTATTATGTGTAGGTAGATATACGGTTTAAAACCACGTGGTGTATTTCACCAGATGTAGGTTTTACAAACTTACCAATACTAATACTTATACTACTACCAGTACTAATACCAGTACCGATACCGATACCGATTCAATACCAATATCAATACCAATACCAATACCAATACCAATACCAATACCAATACCAATACCCGAATATCAATAGCAATACCAATAAACCAATACACCAATACACCAATACCCGAATACCAATACCAATACAAGTATCAATACCAGTACCAGTACCGATACCAGTATTAGTATCGATACCGATACCAATACCGATACCGATATCGATACCAATACTAAAACCAATATCGATGCCGATGCTAATACTAATACCAATACCAATACCAATTAAAAAACGAAAAATAAACATAATACTATTTTTTTTAAAATCAAAATGAAAAACATGACAAAAAAAAATAAGAAAAAAATAATATAAAATAATAATCGAAAAATAAAAATAAAACAAAATTAAAAAATAATCAATTTATGTTTTCATCGAAATAAAGGAAACCATTAAAAAATGAAAAAGAAAAATGAAAAAAAAATTAACGTGTGATGGGGAGAAATTAGAGGAATTTTCATATTTACAAAAAGAAATGATTCCATAATTATTAATATAAGTTATAATAGTGAAACTTAATTATTTTTTGTTAATTAAAAATATTTTGGACTTACTTTAAAAACCTGAATTTTTTTGTTTTTGTTTGATTGTAACTACACATGTCCAATTAGGGTAGTTTTTTTAATTTTCCCTCGTATAAAAGGCCTCTAGAGCAACTCCAATAGGTACCAAAATAAATCATCAAATACTAAATTGATGCTTGATATAATACTTTGATACCTCTATAAAATTTATGCATTCCAATCCAAAGTATCAAATAAAATACTATTTTCAAAATAAAATAATTAAACGCCTAATTAAATTAATTTAACTACTTTCTAGTATATTGTTAATGAAAACTAGGAGAAGTTTGTTACGTCAACCCCAAAACTTGTGAATGTATTTGAAAATGGGAGAATACTATTATATATATTATATTGTAATCATATTTATTATACATCTCGATCTTAAATTCTATGATATCATCTTACTTTTCTTCAATTTACCATGCATCTAAATCACATAGTTTTAACAGCTTTCTTGACGGATTCAGATTCGGACTCTGATGATCTTGAAATGTTCATAAGAGCAACTAAAGAACAAGAAGACGAAAGAAAGAGACAACATAATCGTCACCGCGGTTCGGTTCCCGGTCGAAAGGTAATTCATCGTGATAGGGTGGAAGGTCACAAGAGACTTTATCGTGATTACTTTTCTAATAATCCTACATATCCTGATGTTTATTTTAGGAGAAGATTCCGTATGAGTCGATTCCTTTTTTGTCAAATTATTTCTGGTGTTGAAACACACGACTCATATTTTGTTCAACGAAATGATGCATTAGGAGTCCCCGGTTTATCATCTCTTCAAAAAGTTATTGCTGCATATAGAATATTAGCATATGGAGTTCCTGCTGATTTTTTAGACGACCATATACGCATAGGTGAAAGTACTGCTATTGAAAGCTTACGTCATTTTGTAAAAGCAATTATTGCCGTTTTTGGTGAAAAATACTTAAGAGCACCTAACGAGGATGATTTATCTCGATTGCTCCAAATTAATGAGAGACGGGGATTTCCAGGCATGCTTGGGAGTATCGATTGCATGCATTGGATGTGGAAAAATTGTCCAACTGCATGGCATGGTATGTATAGTGGTCATTTTCGTACACCGACAATTATATTAGAGGCTGTAGCATCACAAGATCTTTGGATCTGGCATGCCTTTTTTGGAATGCCAGGTTCACTTAACGATATTAATGTTCTTGAAAGATCTCCTGTCTTCTCGGCATTAGCCAACGGTCGTGGTCCTACTGTCAATTATACTATAAATGGGAACGATTATTCTATGGGTTATTATCTAGCTGACGGTATTTATCCATCATGGGCAACGTTTGTGAAAACGATACCGGTTCCACTTGGTTTAAAGGCTAAACATTTTGCACAAGCCCAAGAAGCTGCGAGGAAAGACGTGGAACGAGCATTTGGGGTACTACAATCTCGTTTTAATATAGTTCGTGGTCCGGCAAGGTTTTGGGATGAAGTCACATTGGGCGATATAATGAAAGCGTGTATTATAATGCATAATATGATTATCGAGGATGAAAATGGCCCAAGTACCATTGAGTTTGATGGTATGACTCCAAATGTTATACCATCCCGTGAACACACAAATGACTTTATGGAATTTATTCAAGCTCATCATCGAATTCGAGATCGTGCTACTCATTCTCAACTCCAACGTGATCTTGTCGAACATTTATGGGATTTGCATGGTCTTGACAATTCTTAATTTCCAATTAGGAATAATCAATCACCTTTTGTATTTTAGTATGATTTCATGAATAAAATTAGCATCGAGTTATGTTCGGTGTAGCAATCACTTTAATGAGTGCTAATTTATTAGTACTCGTAAATGTTTGAAGTGATATTTCTCCATTTCTATTGCTCTGTTTTATTAAAATTTTATCAATAATTTTTTTGCCTCACTGTTTTGGTTTTTGCCATCTTTTCTATTAAGTTCTACATGTGCTATATTATAATTATCTCATATGCTACTTGCAAAATCTCACTGCATTGGCCAAGCAACTACCTAAAAATGGTATAATTATCGTAATCCTCAATTGGACTTCTTCATGCATTGGCCAAACAACTACCTAAAAAACTAATACACAACATATTAATTTCTGCAAGTATGATTATCCAAACCACATACTGATTTATATATAACTACAACATAAAATAAAAATTAAAGTCACCACTTACCAGCATTTATTAATAAATAAAATTTGGAGTACATCGCATAAAACTTAAGAAACCAATATTAGCTACTTCATAAATAAAATTGATCATATAAAACCATGTTTTTTCAATACTTCCATTTTCATCATATTCCAATAAGCTGCTTGAGTTGCATCCATTCCGATGGTGTCTTTTTTCATGATTTCTATTTCTTTACGCTCTTCATCTACATGAATTGCTTTTTCTTGTATTGCAATAAGCCTCTCGCGTTGAGCTATCCTTTCACGCTCTAATGCCAATTTAGCTTCCCAACGTTCATCCGTAAGTGTCATTGCAGTCGAGCTTTCTCCTTCTGATTTTTTTGGGTTTTTTTTTGCTCGTTCTTTTGACGATTTCGTACCCAAAGGTCGATCCTTATTGGCCGATGATTCACCTTGAGCTTCTGAAGAAGTTGGAACACCATCAACAGTGGCAAAAGTAGTCCTTGTTTGCTTATTTTTTTCAAAAGTATCAAGCCATTTCCTCTCGTATTTTAAGAGATTAAGACAATGTTCAAATTTGAATCCTCTTCCGTTAGTGTTGGCAGCATATAGTTTCCTCGCCTCTTCCAACTATCAAAAAAGAATTTCTCAACGTGAATACATCAAGTTAATTAATATGAATACAAAAACTATAAAAATTCACATTTACCCTTCCATGGTCTGTTTGACCAGATTGATGTCTATGCTCAATTTGATTCAGATAACTAATGAATTTAGAGCATTGTGTGTTAATATCCCCCCAACGATGTTTTACACTTTGCTCGGATCGCCCTCTTTGACCGCTGTTTGTTATAAATCGATCATAAATTCTCGCCCAAAATCTAGAAGATTTTTGGTCACTTCCATGAATAGCATCTTTACTTATATTTAGCCACGACGAAACAATACAAATATCTTCTTCGCGGGAGAAATTTGATGACCTCTTTGATCTAGGTTGAACTTGAACCTTGTTTGTGTCTTCGATATCTATATTTGAGTCGACGGCACAACTTTCTTCATACACCAGCGAGTCGTCATTCAAAAGATCCGTGAAACTTCCATTGTAACCTGAATCCATCTAAAAGAGAGAAGATAATATAATTATAAAGAAAAATCAATCATAAAACATAATAATCTATTTGGATTACAGGTTCACAAAATACTAGAGTTAATGAGCTAGAGAACATTATACTAAAATATTAGAGCAACCAAAGCACCCAAAGATTCATATTAGAAGAACAATATACAGAAATTACAAAATCAATAATCAAATAATTTAACTATGTAGTCAGACCATAGAAAGACAATTTCTTTGTTTAAAATTATATTCCAAAAGAAAACACAATCACAACAAAGATTACCAATCAATTATGGATTTTTGTAAACAATTAAAAAAATTAAAACTTTTGTGTGTGGTGAGGCTAACTTTTTCTTGCAAAACTAGTTCTTCTATTTTTAAATTGCGTGTACAGTAGAAAAGGTTTTCCTTTGCATCTAATTTTTATACAGCAGAAAAGTATTTCAATAAATATACGTATCCCTTTTCTTTGGAAATTTGTTGAGATTTATTTTCTTTCCGTTGAAATTGCGGTTGAGATTTTTCAGGATTATTTGATACCTTTTTTTTTGGGGTGCATTTTTGCACCTCATCGAAGCGAAGTATCAAAAAAAATAGTACTTTGATACCTCCGTTGGAGAGGAATTTTTGAGATTTGGAGTATCAAAATGGTAGTTTTACCATTTGATACTCCGTTTAATTCCCCCGTTGGAGTTGCTCTAAACCTAATAAAGGGATTTAACCCTACCACGCATCACTTGAATAAGTTGTATTACAAGCAATCTCGGAGAAATCAAGCAAAACCCTCACTCAACAATGGAAGCAAAACCAGACTCCAATTCATCAATCTCCGATCATCATCAGCCCAGAAGATTCCGTCGCCGAATCGAAACCCCGGCAGCCGCCGAAACCCTACCGGAAGAAATCATCGAACAAATCCTGGTAAAACTCCCCGTCAAGTCCCTCTTGAAATTCACCTCCGTTTCAAAATCATGGCGCTCGTTGATCTCCAGCAATCGTTTCATCGAAGCCCATCTCGAATTTTCGAGAAAAGACCCAAACTTTACCCATTACAGGACGATCTCAACCTACTTGCCGCCCCGTAAAAGCGTGGAGCACTGCTCTTTCCCATCACTGTTTAACGGGCTTGTAACGGATGCAGCTGACGTTGACGTTGACTTTCCGTTTGACTTTTCCAAGAAAGTCGTCCGTGTTATGGGTACCTGCAATGGGCTCGTTTGGATAGCCCCTAACATGGGGCATTGGTTCTTGTGGAACCCATCCACTAGACAGTACAAGCAATTGCCTGACGAATGTGATCGGACGAATGTCGTCGTCAAGTACGATTTCAAGCATGCATTTGGTTACGACGAGTCGACTCGGGACTACAAGGTTTTGCTAGCTCATTCGGTTCTTAGCAAAAAAAATCGATATGAAACGACGGTGAAAATTTATAGTTTGAGGACCGATTCTTGGAAGAGAATCAAGTTCTTCAACAATAGTCGTCATCCATCGGATTCGCGTGTTAGTGGGATATTTGTGAACGGAAAGATTCATTGGTGTAAAGATACCGAACCAAATTCAAGGTGCGATATTGTTTCGTTCGACTTAGGAAGTGAGGTATGGGGGAGTGTGGCTGAACCGAGTTGTGTCGAGAGCGGTTATTACGAGTCGCCGTCTTTGGGAGTGCTTGATGGATGCCTTTGTGTGTTGTATGATTTCTCGAGAAGCAGAATAGTTGTTTGGGCAATGAAGGAGTATGGGGTGAGTGAATCTTGGGCTAAAACGGTGACCGTACCTTATGTTGACCTTACGTTGTCGAATCCGTCAATCATTAGACCGTCGTTGTGCGTCGGACCAAAGGGTGAAATCTTGTGCATGTTAGGATCAAGTTTGATGATTTACAACCCGAACGATAATCGGTTTAGGCGTCCCGGAATGAGGAACTTCGGTGCTTTCCTTGAAGCGCATGTTTACTACGAAAGTTTAGTCCCGCTTGCCTAATGGTGAACCGGAGAACGAGGCGAATTTGGATTTGTTATGACTTATGAGTTATTATCTCCCCGTTTTTTTTCTAGCGTTAAATATATTATTCTTAACCCATAGAAACTCGAATTTTATTTTTCTGCCATAAAAACAAAAATACGGTCTCGATTGAATAGCTCCGCTCTCGTTTGTCGTGGCCTCTTGATGGTTTTATCTTATATTTCACATATAATTTATTTCTTTATTTGATTCAAAAAATGGTTTCTTGAGATGATTTCATGAAGACTATATAGTGTATCTTTTGCCCAACTTTTCTCTCTCTTGTCCTGATTTTCTTGCATCTTTCGAGTAGTATTTGTTATGAAATCGAGTAGAAAGGTTTTCGTGATTGAATAGCTCTTTCTTCATCCCACATGATCTTCTAATGGATCCTCCTCTTTGCCCGAGTGGGATATTGTTTCGTCTGATTTAGGAAGTGAGATATGTGCAAGTGTGGCCCCACCGGATTATGCCAAGAGCGATGTTTTTGCAGCTCGATGGATACCGATACTCATATTCATACTAATACTAATAGCATACTAATATTAATATAGATACTCATACTGATACTAATAACCATACTAATACTAATACTGTTACAAATGCTAATGCTAATACTAATCTAATATTACTGCTAATGCTAATACGAATACCAACACCAATATGAATACTCAATAATAATATTGATACCGATACTGCTGATGTTGATATTAATATTGATATTGATACTAATTATGATATGGAGCTAATTGCATATAACCCCCTGTGTAATCTGGAATTGTTAAAAAACCCCTCATGTTAAAAATATTAGCATAGACCCCCCTATATTATTTTTAACAAAGCACACCGCCCTTTATTACAAAATTAGCAGTTGACCTATAGGAAATGACTAAATTAACCCTCATATTATAATAATTTATGTTTCAATTATAAATAAATAAAACTGCAAAATGAATATAATTAGAACAAATCAAAAAGAAAAAAAAAACATAATGAAAAAGAAGAAAACCCACGGCCATCATCTCCTCCCCCAACCCAAAATTCTTCCATCTGCATCACCACCACCTCCGCACCACCTGCCTTCCCTCCCCAAAAAAAAATATGCTTTATGTTTAATTTGATGGGTTTTTCCAGATTTCTTTTGAATCAAGATTTTTGGTCGCGACCCTATTCGTCTCATCTCTTCGTCGGAGGTGGGTTTGGAGGCGGCATCATCCGGGCCGGATGAAGCATCCATGGCGAGGAACAGATTTGAGAAGAAGGAGACGGAGAAAGAAGATGAGGTTTTGAGAAATTATGAAAATTGCAATTTGGTCCTATGCAATTTGGAGAGAGGGCAGCGGCTGCGGCGTGGTTGAATCGGAGAGTCGGCCAATGATTCTTCGAGTTTGACATTCTTCTTCTTATTCTTCCTGAAGGTACGAATTAAGTTTTCACAAATTGGAAGAAAATGCTATGGAAATTGAAAGAAATTTCTTTGAAGGGTTTTTGTATATTTTTTTGTTTGGGCAGGGATGTGCCGAAAAATTTTGAGGAGCCGTTTTTCTTCCATTTTGTTTTCTTGGATTTGGAATAGAAATGAAATTCATGTTCAGATATGGGTTTGGTTGATGGTTTTTGCCGGAAAAAATCATGGTGAAAAAGTGGAGGACTAGTTGAAGAAGATGGCTTAATTGAAAATATAAAGGACTCAATTGAAAATCTTAAAAACTTCATTTTGGTACTTATAAAGTTTCTGGTTGCATTTTGGTATTTCGTGTCAAAAAACGAACCCCCACTCTCATCCATGGCGAGTGAAGTGCACGGTGAGCTCTTAAGGGCCTTATTGCCTTTGACTAATTTTTATAGGGGGGTATTTGCTAATTATTTTAACACGAGGTCGTTTTCAGCAATTCGAGATTACACAGGGGTGGTTTTTGCAAAAAACCCTTATGATATGGGTATTGATATTGATATTAATACTTAGATTGATACTAGTACTGGACTGTGATGCTGACAGCGATAATAATTATGATACTGGTTTTGATACTGACATCCCGATACCGATATTGATGCGCACACCAACACTCATATCTATATCAATACCTACATTAATACTAAAACCAATACCAACAGCAATATCAACGGCAACGGCAACACCAACAACAACGACAATGCCACGCGAACGCCAACGCCAACACCAACGCCAACGCCAACACTAAGGCCAACACACACACCAACATCAATACCAATACCGATATCAATACGGATATTAATACTAATACTAATATCACTACTAACACCAATACCTATACTAATACAAAACCAATATCAATACCGATACCGATATCGATACCAATACCAATACCAATTCCAATACCTATATCAATACCAATACCAATACCAATACCAATACCAATACCAATACCAATACCACTAGTAATACCATTACCAATATCAATACCAATACCACTAATAATACCAATACCAATAACAATACCAATACCAATACCAATACCAATATCAATACGGCTTTTGAGATCCCACAACTAATGAAATACAACATGTGATTTTAAACCGTAGATCTTTATAAATAATTACCCACTAAGCAGACATACACATGAGTGTGTGTGTTATTATGTGTAGATATACAGTTTAAAACCACATGGTGTATTTCACCAGGTGTAGGTTCTACAAAACCTACCAATACTGATACTTATACCACTACCAGTACTAGTACCAGTACCGATAACGATATCGATAGTGACACCGATATCGGTACCAATACCGATACCAATACTCGAATACCAATATCAATATCAATATCAATACACCAATACCAATACCTATACAAGTACCAATACCAGTACCAGTACCGATATCAATACTAATATCGATATCAACACCGATACCGATACCGATACCGTTACCCATACCGATATCGATATCGATATCGATATCGATACCAATACCAATACCAATTAAAAAAACTAAAAATAAACATAAGACCATTTTCTAAAAATCAGAATGAAAAACATGAAAAATATAAATAAGAAAAAAATAATTTAAAATAAAACAAAATTAAAAAATTAAAAAATAATTAATTTATGTTTTAATCAAAATAAAAAAAAACCATTAAAAGATCTTAAAGAAAAGGGAAAAGGGAAAAAAAAACAAAGATTGAGGTAAGATGAGGATAAATAGAGGTATTTTGCATATTTCACAAAAAAAAAAAAATTATTTTCCTAATAATTAATATGAAGGTATAATAATGAAACTTAATTATTTTTTTATTAATTAAAAATATTTTTAACTTATCTTAAAAATCTGAGTTTTTTTGGGTTTTGTCAATAAAGGGATTTAACCCTACCACGTATCACTTGAATAAGTTGTATTACAAGCAATCTCGGAGAAATCAAGCAAAAACCTCACTCAACAATGGAAGCAAAACCAGGCTCCAATTCATCAATCTCCGATCATCATCAGCCCAGAAGTTTCCGTCGCCGAATCGAAACCCCGGCAGCCGCCGAAACCCTACCGGAAGAAATCATCGAACAAATCCTGCTAAATCTCCCCGTCAGATCCCTATTGAAATTCACCTCCGTTTCAAAATCATGGCGCTCGTTGATCTCCAGCAACCGTTTCATCGAAGCCCATCTCGAATTTTCGAGAAAAGACCCGAACTTTACCCATTACAGGACGATCTCAACCTTCTCGCCGCCCCGTAACGGCGGCGTGAAGCACTGCTCTCTCCCGTCACTGTTTAACGGTAACGGGCTTGCGACGGATGCAGTTGACGTTGACTTTCCGTTTGACTTCTCCGAAAAATCCGTCCGTGTTATGGGTTCATGCAATGGGCTCGTCTGCATAGTCACTCACGAGGCACATTTGTTAATATTGCTGAACCCATCCACTAGAAAGTTCAAGAAATTGCCCGATGTGTGTGATAGGCTAATGAACACAATCATCTGTGCTTTCAAGTATGGATTCGGTTTCGTTGAGTCGACTCGGGACTACAAGGTTTTGTTAGTTTGCTGCGTTTTTCGCAGAGACAGCAGTAGATGTGAAACCATGGTGAAAGTCTACAGTTTGACGACAAATTCTTGGAGAAGAATCGAGTTTGTCGTCGAGGATAGATACGGGTTTGATGTTAGTGGGATATTCGTGAGTGGAAAGCTTCATTGGTGCAAAATAGTAAAACCCGAATCAAATTCAACGTTCGGTATTGATACGTTCGACTTAGGAAGTGAGGTATGGGGAAATGTGACTCAACCACCGAGTTGTGTCGAGAGCGGTTTTTACGTTTCGCAGTCTTTGGGAGTGGTCGATGGATGCCTTTGTGTGTTCTATGATCACCCGAGAATCGGTGTGGATGTTTGGGTGATGAAGGAGTATGGGGTGAGTGAATCTTGGGCTAAAATTGTGACCGTACCCGATATTCACCTTCCGTTAATTTCGTACCCGTCGAACCATAAACCGTCATTGTGCGTCGGACCAAAGGGTCGAATCTTGTTCGTGTTCGGATCAATTGTACTGATCTACAACCCGAGAAATAATAAATTTACGTGTCCCGACATGAAGAACTTTGGTGGTTTCCTTCGATCGCATGTTTACTACGAAAGTTTAGTCCCACTTGTCTAACGGTGAGCGATAGAAAGAGAGGTAATTTTTTTAGATTTTTTTAGGAGTGATTATCTATCTTCTTTCCCCATTGCTCTATTTTTTTTTTCTTGAAGGCCCTGTTTGGTTGCTATGATAAGCCATGACTAACTACTAACTAAATAGTCTGACTTAATTTGATGTTTGGCAAAAGTATGTAATCATGGTTTATCTTGCAGTGAGTTTTTTCTGTTGGACGTCACGAGCTCTTGGGTTTCATTATATTATTTAATCTTATCTTGGCTAATCTTAGCTTGCCAACTAAAAGGGGTCCAAGTAAACAAAATGTTATGAATACTTATAAGATGAGGCTGGACGTGTGTACGTAGGATCGGTAAAAAATTGTAATCTTCACCGGATGTAGCAGAAAAATAACCCGAGGCTGCATGCAGTTGGTTCTAAGAGAATTTTAACTGTGTACAAAGATGAAAAGAAAATATGGTCTTGATTGAATAATTCTGATTTGTTTGCAGTTGGCCTCTATATGCTTTTGTATCTTATCTTTTGCCTAGAATTTTATTTCTTTGTTGATACAAGAAATGGTTTCTTGATATGATTTTGATTCTTCCTTACCTTTATCCTGATTTTCTTGCATCTTTCTGAGTCATATTTGTGGATTATGAAGAGACACAATGTGTGGATTATGTTAAGATCCAAAACAAATATGAGGCTTAATTTCACTTTTCACCTTCTAAATGTACCATTTTGGCACTTTGCACCATCGGAACGTGTTTAATCGTTCAAATTGCATCCTAGTTTATTTTCCGTTATGATTTTCCATTGTTAACCTATTTTCTTGACTATCAAAAGTTATTTTCGCCCGAAAATACATTCGCACCTGCCACCTTGAAGAAAAAATCAATTGAATAGTCAAAACTGACTATGTTGACGATAAAAAAATAAGTTAACGACGGAAAAAATTTGGCCGAAAAATATTCTAGGGTACACTTTGAACGATTAAACATGTTTTGAGGGTGCAAAGTGCCATAAATTATTGGTACACTTTGAACGATTAAACATGTTTTAAGGGTGCAAAGTGCCATAAATTATTTTTGGGGATGCAAACTGCTTTCAAGGGTACAAAGTGTAATTAAGCCCAAATATGAATCCAACCAAAGATGCAAGAAAATCAGAACGAGAAAGAAAAACAACTTAGGCAAAAAAACACAATCTACAATTGTTTCATAATTTTTCCGGTTTCGGCTACTCTTGTTCACCTTTGGACAAGCGAGACTAAACTTTAACGGTAAACATCCGTTTCATAATTAGTAGTGTGTATTTTATCAGCTCTTCAGACACAAAATCAAATCATATCAAGAAGCCATGTTTGAATCAAGTTACGCTCCTACTCATAAGACAGAGATTAACCAGAAACGAAACATGTTTTCTTCGGCTCATTTACATAAAGCACTGATAAAACATCATTACACGAGCGAGACTAAACTTTCACAGTAAACACCGGCTTCAAGAAAGGCACCGAAGCTCCTCATCTTAGGACACCTAAACCGATTATCGTTCGGGCTGTAAATCAAGAAATCCGATCCTAACTTGAATAAGATTTCGCCCTTCGGTCCGACACACAACGATGGTGTATGAATTGATGGATTCGACAACGGGAGGTGCATATATGGTACGGTCACTATTCTAACCCAAGATTCACTCACTCCATACTCCTTCATTATCCAAACATCTACGCTCGTTCTAGGCGAATTATAAAGCACACAAAGGCATCCATCAAGCACACTCAACGAAGGCGAAAAACCGGTCTCGACATAACTCAGTGGTTGAGCCACATTTCCGCATACACCAGTTCCTAAATCGAACGAAAAAACATCCCAATTAGAATAATCGGGTCCGTTATTTCTTCTACCCCAATGAAGCTTCCCACTCACGAATTTCCCGGTAGCATCCAATCCAAGATTATCCTCCTCTAAGAACTCGATTCGTTTCCACGAATCGGTCCTCAAACTATAAATTTTCGCAATAGTTCCGCCCCTACCCCGATTGGAGAAACCGCAAAAAACCTTGTAGTCGTCGCTAGACTCGTCGAAACCAAATCCATAAATGATGATCAACTTCATCCTATCATCATCGTCGTCGTCCACGTCAGCCAATTTCTTGTACTTTCTGGTGGATGGGTTCCACAGGAGAAAATGCCGTCCCTCGTTAATGGATATACAGACGAGCCCATTACAGCTGTCCACCACCCAAACTCCGCCTTTGTAATTTTCGATCGGAAAATCAATTTCGAGTGGATCGGACGACAGCCCAGAAAACAGTGACGGCAAATAGCAGCGCTTGAGGCTCTGCTTTCGGATCGGGTTTTCAAATAGAAAAGTTTGGATGATCCAGTGGCGGGTAAAGTTTGTGTCTTTTCTTGAAATTTGGAGATGGGATTTGATGAAATGCTTGTCGGAGATTAGAGAGCGCCATGATTTCGAGACGCACCTGAATTTCAAGAGGGATTTGACGGGGAGTCTTGACAGGATTTCGGCGATGATTTCTTCTGGGAAAATTTCGGCGGCTGCCGGAGTTTTGATTCGGCGACGGAATATTCTGATTGATGATATGTTTCCCATTTTGGAGCTTGCTTTACCGGAGTCGGAGGTGTAATGTAGTTCAAGTTGGTTTTTTAGTATTCTTGTCGGAGCCGGAGGTAGGGTTAAAATGGTACAAATAGTAAAGATACTTTTCTTGAGAAGAGGAGAATCTCACAAATATTAATTTACGGGAAAATTACAGTTCTCACCCCTCAAGTTTGCATCGATTTCACATGTAGTCACCTGTTAAAAAAAAAACATTTGGTCCCTCATGTTCCAATAATTTAACAATTTTGGTCATTTCCGTCTATTTACCGTTAGTCATGGAACACGCTGGATTCCGTTAGTTTTAACGGAAAATTGACGGAAATGACTAAAAGTGTGAATTTTAGAAACATAAGGGATCAAATGTATTTTTTGTGAACATGAGGGACCAAATGTGAAATCGGTGCAAATTTGAGGGACGAAAAATGTATTTTTCCCATTAATTTACTTTTCTTGAATAAGCAGATTGAGTAAGCTTGAATGTGTTTTAATTGAGTAACACGGATCGAACTCGATTAACTTGATTGTTTTAAATATATTTTATCATTTTTTTTTCCCAATCCACTTTGAGTCAAGTTTCATAACTAATTATTGAAAGAAAATATGTGTTCGAGTTTGGTTAGTTAAGGTAACAAAAACTTCGAACAAATTTTTAATAGACTATCTCAGATCTAGCATTGAGTAGTTTAGTTTCGTCGCCCATTCGCCATTATCCCCACCGTTCGTCGGCTTCCCGTCCATCGGTACCGAAATCTTGCTAAACTTTCGGTACTGAAATTTTGTTATGTTTTCGGTACAGAAAATGTTAACATTATCCGACTGTAAGGGCAGAAAATTACACATTGCGAAAACAATGGTGTAGTTGCGAAACTCGAACTTCATACTCATAAAACCGAACATAAAATGACACTGAATCACAAAATTCTCACGTCTATTGCTTTATTTTGATATGAATCCTCAAAATCATTGTCGTTTAAGAAACAATAGGATTTCTCTCCCATCAACAAACATTTGTAGTGTTGTGTGGTTGGTGTAGAGAGTTTGAAATATGTGCTTTTTTTAACAAAATAGTAGTAGGGCAAATTGGTCTTTTGATTAAGGGTAATTTTGAGATTACCATTTGGTGGAGTGAGAGGATCAAAATGGTGGAGCATATATAGCCAATCCCTTGAAATATACAGCTTGGTGTACTTTGCAACGAATATGTACTTTCAGTCTAGTTCTCGCCGAATTATTAGTATATATATATATCATTTTACTTTTTCTGCGTATAAAATCCTCCTTTCCTAGTTATTTAGGGTTCCCAAATTAACAAAAAATCTTCCCAAATTGTGAAAAGTCTCTTGCAAACTGGACGAAATTATCTTCCAAGTTTGACAAAATTTGTTCGTTGTTCTTCATAATCACGGTAATATGGGGTGGGAAAATGTGACATTTATAGCCTTAAAGAACGAAATCACCGTTCCAATTCACTCAAACTTGACGATAATCAGACCGAAAAAAAAAAGAAAAAAAAAAAACAATTGGGACAAAATGCACCGAGCTTTATATTTCAAGGGGCGACAGTCTTGTTTTTACATTTGGAGGGGGAGAAGTGCAAAAATGGCATTTTCTAAAGGGGCAAAGTGCAATTTTCCCATAAATTGACCTTGGATCTAAAGTCTAAACCCTAGTGGTGTCGACTATGTTTTAATCCTCATATCCTCCACAACGAGATTTCTGAATTCTACCAAAATGGTAACAAAATCAGAATCAAAATTATCACAGTACGATCATCGACCCAGTCCTACCAGAACCCGTCTCCGAATCCCGCCGGCGGCGGCGGCGGCGGCCGACGAAACTTTGCCGGCAGAAATCATCGAAGAAATCCTGTTAAGACTGCCCGTCAGGTCCCTCTTGAAATTCACCTCCGTTTCAAAATCATGGCGCGCTTTGATCTCCAGCAACGATTTCATCAAAGCCCATCTCGAAATTTCAAGAAAAGACACAAACTTTACCCGTTACGGCGTCGTTTCAGCCTATCTGCCGCTCAGTCACTGCTCTTTGCCGTCACTGTTTTCTGGGCTTGTGACTGACGCCGTTAGCGTCGATTTCCCGTTTCCAATTTCCGTAGCCACAGTATGTGTGCGTGGCACGTGTAACGGCCTCGTCTGCATAGTCATTAGCATGAAACACATTTTCTTGTGGAACCCATCCACTAGAAAGTTCAAGCAATTGCCCGATGCCACCGATGATAGGTTGACGATGTTCGTGATCAATTACGGATTCGGTTACGACGAGTCGAACGACGACTACAAGGTTTTGGTAGTCTTTAATGGCGGTAGAGACGGAGCCATTGTGAAAATCTATAGTTGCACGACTAATTCTTGGAAAAGAATCGAGGCCTTCGAGGACGGTCTCCCATTTAACGAAACCGGGAGATTCGTGAGTGGGAATCTTCATTGGAGTAGAAGAAGAGTTAATGAATCGGATTCGAAATGGGATATTGTTTCGTTCGATTTAGCAAGTGAGATATGCGGGAATGTGGCTCAACCGATTTACGTTGACGGTGATTTCGCCCCGTGGTTTCGGCCGTTTGGTGATTGCCTTTGTGTGTTCTATGATCACCCGGGAATCGGTGTGGATGTTTGGGTAATGAAGGAGTATGGGGTGAGTGAATCTTGGGCTAAAATTGTGACGGTGCCTTATCTTCATGATCCCGGGCAAGGTCGGTTCTCGAAACCGTTCTGCATTGGACCGAAGGGCGAAATCTTGGTCGAGTGTTTAAGGAGTTTCATGATTTACAGCCCGAAAGATAAACGGTCGAGGCTTGCTGAGATAAGAAGCGCTTCTCCCTTTCTTGAAGCGGATGTGTACTGTGAAAGTTTAGTCTCGCTTGTCTAACGGTGAACCGGAGAAAGCCGAAACCAGAAAAATTATGAAACAATTGTAGTGCCCAAGTTGTTTTTTTTTCTTGTTCTGATTTTCTTGCATCATTGGTTGGATTCATATTTGGGCTTAATTAGACTTTGTACCCTTGACATGTAACATTTTAGCAGTTTGCACCCCGGAAAATAGTTTATGGCACTTTGCACTCTCGAATGCACCCTAATATATTTTTTTGTTTGTGGGCATAATTTTCCGCCAGTTAACTTATTTTCTGATGTCCACATGGTCATTTTTGTCTATTCAGTTGATTTTTTCTTAGTGAAAAAAAAGAATGCAATTTCATATTTGTTTTGGATCTTAACATACTCCACACATTGTGTCTCTTCTTGATTTCTATAACTTAGTTATTAAATAAATGGGGCATCTAAAACAAATTCTAATTTTTTCTCACTTCAATCCCTCCAAATTTAAAATTATTTTTTATAGAAGTTTTTACAATTTTTTCTTAGTTTAAAACCATAAATAAATAAAAAATTGCTAGCAAAGTACAAAAATGCCCTTCATCAACCATAATACAATTTATACCAAGGAAAAAAAAGAAAAACAAATCCTCTCTTTTCCCTTTTTCTTTTTATCGGCCCGGAATTCATGTTAATGCTAACTTGACCAGTGAAATTAAGGGACTGTTTTCTGCATTTTGGGTGTCAAATAATTTCTGGGTTTGACTTTTTTCAGTGATGGTGGTGGCGGCGGAGGATGATCCATTACCGCACTCGGTTCCGAACTCGATTCAACTCTTCAAGAACGCATTTTTGCCAATCGAATCAAATTTTCGATTCGAGCACTGCTTCAATGGGTTCGTGAAAGATCCGATCTTGCACGAATTTCAACAAGATCATTGCTGTAAGAACGCTGATTACGAATCTTCGACCCGACCCGTTGATAAATTCGACCATTTTAGGGCACTCGGCAGTAATTTAGGGATTTTGAAGTTTGCGCGAGTACGAGGTTTGCCGTCAAGTATAGTTGGAGTGGCTTCTGCGAAAGATGTGGAAGACCAACGGTAAAAAAAAAAAAAAAAAAATTTGTTCTTCCCTTTTTTCAAGTGTTTATTGCCGTTTCGACTTCAAACTCGATTTTGATCATTCTTTTAACTCCAAATTTTGCAGAATCGGAAACATAGAATTTGTAGCTTTTTGAGTTAGCTTTAGAATCCAATTTGAATTACCAAAATTTGATGTCGGACGAGAAAGATATACATTAATCAACGAACACTGCCCACAACTGTGAGCTATCTAAAATTCAGAATGTGATTCATTCATGCATAACTTTGTCACACGGCATCTAGTCTAACTGATTTAAGTTGGATTAGAAAGCTAATCCAAAGTACTACAGTTTTCGTGTTTCGAATTTTGCCCAAATCATACTAGAAATATGTCAAAGTTAGGTTCGAAGTTTCAAAATGTATTAGTAAAATTGAAACGACGTATAACATTTCCGGGTTTTTTATTTGATTTTTGTTATTGATGTCAATGGATATAGAGAAGGTTTATTATATGCTTCAGAATTATTTACGCTACGAATTTTCTTAGGCGAATTTCGTATAACATCAAGTTTTATATAAATTTTCTGATGTATATGTGATTTTGATAACTAGTAATGTAATGCATAATCTGATTTTGAAGTGGATGAAATCATTGTCGAAAATAATTCAGAGTAATGATTAATAATCAGTTGATTAGTTATCGAACCAGATTTTTTTGATAGAAACTGACGAGTATCTTATACTCTCTGTAATAACGAAATAGAAATATTTCTCGTATAGAAACACATGCAGGAAGTGTTCTAAAATCTGCGTTGGCTGGAGGGCTTTCCTGTGCATTATCCGCAACGTTAATGCACCCCGTTGACACATATAAGGTAATAATATACAAAATTATATTATTAATATTTTCTTCTTTTTTTTTTCAACGCATTGTCGAAATTCAATTAAAAAGATGATTTTACGAACCCTTTTTGTGATGGTGTGCTAATGCTATTATAGAAAATGGATCTTTGGAAGAATAATGTATTAGCTATTTTTTTTTTATTGAACTACAGTTAAACCTCTATAAATTAAAACAGTCGGGCCTAACAAAATTCTATTCATTTAGTGAAATATGAAATTATCGAACTAATAATTTAGTACAATTTTACTGAGTCAGGACCGGAAGAAATTATTATTTAAGCGAGGTTATTAATTTATCGAGTATTAATTTGTCGAGTTTCTAATTGTATAATTTTGGCCAGACATGGGTGCAAGCTTCGACTGTTACTTCCCCGGAAATTATATCGAAGATTTCTCAAATCGGGGTCCGGGGATTATACAAGGGATCTATACCAGCTATTGTCGGGCAATTTGCAAGGTTTAATTTGATTACTGTACATCATTTCTTTCGTTTTCTGTATGATAATATTATAATATATAATGAAATAATGCAGCCACGGTATGCGAACCGGAATTTGTGAAGCAAGCAAGTTTGTGTTGGTAAACATTGCACCGACGCTTTCAGAAATACAGGTGATCGAGTGCCGTGACGAACGTATTTTCTTGTTTATTAGCTTTTTTTTTTTCCTATTATTCGGCAATATCATTTTATTTTTATTTTTTTGATTTATTAAATTGGAAATTTCGGGACTGGTGTTTTAGGTTCACTCAGTGGCATCATTTAGTAGCACGTTTATCGGAACAGTAATGCGAATCCCATGCGAAGTGTTGAAGCAGAGATTGCAGGCCGGTTTGTTCGACAATGTTGGGGAAGCTATAACCGGAACTTGGCTTCTAGAAGGTTCAAAGGGTTTCTTCCGTGGCACCGGTGCAACTCTCTGCCGCGAGATACCCTTCTACGTCGCCGGAGCGGGCCTTTATTCCCAATCCAAGAAGGTTCTAGAATCTTCCATTCAAATTCCATTTCAAGAATCCATTTTTTTTTCGTTTTACATTTATAGGGCAAATTACGGCGCCATCCCCCGAGGTATGGTCAAATTACGAAAAGACCCCTCTTGTTTGGGTAATATTACAGCCACCTCTCCTTTTAAATATTTTTACATAAAATTTACGTAATTCGGTTATTTACGGAACCAAATCGTATATTTAGTTCGGTAAACGGTATGAAATGTTGGCATACCAAAATTTCGGTTAGATTTTACCGAATTAGCATCCCTAAATTTACCTTTGGATGGGTCTTTTCGTAAGATAATATATAGTTGAGGGGTGGCTGTAATTACCCAAGCAGGAGGGGGTTTTTGTAATTTGACCATAACTCAGGGAGTGGTCGTAATTTGCCCCACATTTATATGTATACAGTTAAACCACTCTAAACCAATACAGTTGGGACTAGCAAAATTCTATTAATTTAGCAGAATATTAAATTATCATTAACATGTTGTTACCGAGTGGGGACTGGGAGAAATTATTATTTAAGCGATGTTATTTATTTATCGTAGAACCCATATATTCAGGTTGCTCGGAAACTTCTAGAAAGAGAGCTGGACCCTCTAGAAGCAATCGTAATAGGGGCTTTGTCCGGTGGGATAACTGCAGTTATGACAACTCCACTCGATGTAATAAAAACGAGGATGATGATTGCTCCTCAAGGGCAAAAGGTGACTTTTTCGATTTTAGCACTTTCGATTTTGCAAAATGAAGGTCCACTCGGATTGTTCAAAGGGGCAGTTCCGAGATTCTTTTGGGTTGCTCCGCTTGGTGCAATGAATTTTGCGGGTTACGAGCTTATAAGGAAGGCCATGGGCTAAAATTATTGGAGGTAATGCTATAAATATGTATTTCTAAGTGTTTACAATTGATTTATCTCAAAAGGAAAAAAAAAAAAAAAAAAAGTGTTTGCAAATTGCAATTAATTTGGCTTCTCTTAAACTAAATTGTTATAGACTATGGTCCTATAAGGCCTCGTTTGGTTACTGTTATTAAGTTTTATTGACTAAATAATAGGATTTAGTTATGTGTTTCAAACCCGCTATAAAAGTTGAAGCATGCAATTAGGTTGCAATTAGGTGGTGTTTGCAAAAGCTTATTTAAAAGCAGAAGTTATGGATTGTGAATTAAGTTGGTTTTAAGTGCTTATTTCTAGGGTGTTTACAAATTTACCGGACACTAAACTTAAACAGAAAAGGCATGAAAAGGCATAAAAAGCATTGTTATGGTTGCTTAACATTGCTTATTTTAAGAGAAGCAAAAACAAAAGTTCATTTTTCGAACACTTATAAATAGATTATGAGCAACAAAAGAAAAAGTTCATAATCTATTTGTAAACGCTTTTGCAAACACCACCTTAACTGCTGCTATCCAATAAAATTAGTAGTTGCTCGACCCACCGTGATTAATTATAGCGACTAAATAGGAAAAGGTCAAATTTGTCCATAAATACTATAAATTAGGATGCGATTATTGTAAAGTAGTGATGTTATTGAAAAATAATCGTATAATACCAAATTTTAATACCTTCTAAAGAGACGAATAGTTAGTAGCACGGAGTTAATAATAGATATAGGTAAGCAAACAAGGCCTAAAACCCCCTCAGCCATAGCTTTTATTGCTAATGACATGATCAGGGTTACAAAAAAATAAAATTAAATAATATAAAAATTAAATGATTTGCTTTATTATTGGTAATTATTTCCTAAGTACTATGCATATGTCTATGTATGCATTATATATATATATTTCATGTCCAAAGAGTTTCCCAATTAGAAAGTTCCAAATTGGCTTCATCGGTAAAGAAGTTTGACGACGAGTTTTCATCAAACAACGGAAGCTGCTGCATTTCTGCTTGTCGCGAGTTTTCCAGAACGTTCCGGATGGAAATGAATTCGAACAATTTCGAGTTTTGGCATTGCATGTTAAAGATTTCCGCGTGTGCCTTTGCGAGTTCAGCTTGGAGCTCGCCGATTTGGTTTTGGAGATGGCAAATTGTGCCCGTGCAACCGTATATTGGATCCCGTACCCGAGCATTCGCTTCGTAAACCATGCTGTTTACTGCATCTGCTCTTTGATCTTCTGGAAGTTCCTGCAATTTTTTTTTTTCATTTTTTTCTAATTATATTATATTATAAAAAAATTAAATATTTATATATTTATAACTCCCCGCCACAACATTGAATGCCACGTCTTCTACAATGTCTGTCACTTTATAGAAGTGTTTTGTTATGCATTATTTGTGACTTTAGAATTTCAATACACTGAAACCTTTATAGATTAATTGTGACGTAACTAGAGAAATTCTATTAACTTAGCGAAATATAAAAATTATCGAGTTAGTCATTTAACATGTTCTTGTTGAGTTAATCATTTAATTTAGGGTATTACACCTACACCCTTGATGTATGCTAAAATAACTTTAAGATCTATGTGGTATTGATAATTATAGCAATACCCCTGAAACATTTACCATATCCAAGATTTTATGTCTTGGAGATCGATATGCACTATATTTGTTTCCCGCGGGGCCATTAATGCTATCATAGACTAAAATTTATAAATCTTATATAAAATAATAAAGATTTAAAGAATGTCAGGAGACTCATGTCACTCATTAGCTCTATGTTGACTCTATCACTACCTCAAGTTAATAGTCTGTTAGAACTTTAACTCAATAACTTATCTAATACATTTCTCCGTATGGTTTCTAACAATGTTTTAGGGTGGTAATTGTAATTATCGATACTACATGGACCTTTAAGTTATTTTAACATGCATTAGGAGTGTAGGTGTAATTTACCATTTAATTTATCGAGGTTCTAATGTAGTTCATTAGTTACAAATCTTCTAATCATGCTCTTATTAACTCTACAACACTCTTCCTGCATTAATTAATAAATAAAGATATTTTTGTTGATCAATATCTATTTTCCTAAAATCAAAACATATTTATTGAGATTCTTATGACTCGTGCTGAGTGAAAAACGAACACGGCACTTGTTTATGAATGAACTTGAATATGAAAGGAGAAAGTATTCGGTAACTAAAGAGTGTTACAATATGTTAATAATAACTCCCAAAAAAAATAGAATTAAATTAACCTGCAAACACTTGATAATGTTGCTAGCTCCGAAAACACGGTGGGCAATTGCGAACTTGAGTGGGTCGGTGGGCGGGAAGTAAGGCGCCAGCACGCACTTCTCGCCGCACCGCCTCCGGAGGATCTTGCAAGCTGCGCACGGGCTGAGAATCACCGCCGGATCAGGAGAAATTGATGATGTAGGCGAATCACCGGCGGTGTTGGTTTTTCTGCTGTACTCCATAGTTAGTAACTGGTGGAAGGACGGAGTGGGGGTGTTAATGTAATTTCTAATTCTTTTATTTATTTATTTTTTGTTTTTTGTTTTTTTTTTCCATTACTATTTGAGTGATAGATAAACAAATATTTATAGGGGAATTAAATTCCCGCCGATAAGGGGAATGGGGGTACGGGGGGTGGGTGGTAGGGGGTGGGTGGTCGGTTATTGCCTAAAACCAAATAAAAACACAGCCAACTGTTTTTCTTCGTGTAAAATTGAATTTATATTTAATTATAGACTATAGATATATACTAATTGAAAAGGTAACATGATTTTGAATTATGCATCAAAATGCTTACAAGATTGTGAATTTTACTTGCTCATGGAGGTGTTCACTCGATCGGTAAACTGATTGAATCGACCGAAACGTGCCAAATATTGAACCGGAGTATTTGGGTAAAGATCTTTCACAATTCCGGTATTCAATACAGTATACTGTATTGATGTTCGGTATTCAGTACTGAATACTGAAATATTTAATAAATATTAATATTTTTTCTTTTATTTTAAATTCTTTAAGGTTATAACAAATAGTTCAGTTCGGTAAACAATACAAATTTTTGAAGTATCGAAATTCCGGTACAGTTCGGTACGATTTTACCGAATAAACACCCCTACGTGCTACTGAAATAGAGTTGTGTGCTGTCAAAAATAATATGACAACATAATTTTAATTTGTAATATTTTCATACATAGTTCTAATACTTTTTGAATTTATTATAAAGTTGCAAAATAAATGGCATAATTTTTTTATATTTTTGAAGAACCATAGAATATTTCTTTGGTCAAAATTTTGTGAAAAGGAGATTAAAATAGCCAACGCATTTATTAAGTGTACTTAATAAATGTACAACCAATATTTTGCACCAATCTACAATAAATTCATCTTTATACTACACCAATCATACCATAAGAGAATACCACGTGGCACAATTCGTGGGTCCCAGTGCTGACCAACAAAGCGACTATTCAGCTGCTGCCACGAATAAGACGGCGTGGTTTTTCCAAGTTGCCAATTATGACGTGGCAATCGATCATGCATGTATGTACGTTATACTATGCTACATCGGGTGAAATAGATTGGATAGATCTTTATTATTCATAAGTTCACAAACACTCACATATCCACATTGGTGGGTGTAGATCAACGGTAAAAATTTACCCTGTGTGACATTCGTCGGGTGTACCATAGAAATAACCTTTAAGGCACCGTTGTAGCTCGTGGACAAAATGACTTTAGTTTGATTCTTTTTATTTCTTAGTTTCTTTTTGCTTCTTTCCCTAAATCATGGATGGTGTTTTTTCTAGTCCCAACTCGGTGAAAATATAATAAATTATTAGTTTAGCAATTTAATAGTTCGCTAACTAATAGAATTATGTTAGTCCTAACTGTATAATTTATAGAGGTTTAAATGTATTGTGTCGGCACTCGTGTAAGTAGGAGTATTAATCGGACGGATCAGATTGGAATTAGCCCTTTTGAAAAAAATAATATTTTTTTTCGGAAGTGAAAAACTAGTTCAAATTTTGTTCCAAAAACATCGGGAATGGGAACACTTGTTCCAAGATTGAAAATTTTTGGATCGGAATCGGCGGAATTCGAAAATTTTCAATTTTGGGTTACCTAAATATAAAATAAATAATAATTTTGGTATTTTAAGTTTAACATTTCGGAAAGAACTCAGAATTTTCGAAATTATTTTTGGAACTTAAATTGGATCGAAAATCCAAAATCATATATATTCCAATATTCAATCCAACTAATTTCGAAAAAATTAGAAGTCGGAATTTCAGAATTCAGATAGAAAAATATTACTCCAAAATCGGAAAATTTTAGATCGAAATCAACGAAATTCATAAATTTCGTTCCAATTTCCACTCGTACGTGTAAGTTCTACTAAGATGGTGTTTATCATTGAGTTTTACTCAGTCACCAATTTCTATTTTTCTAATAATTTATGAAAATATCATTTAACAATAATACACCTAGCAATTCATCAACTTCTACTTTTTTAAAAGTCTTTGCATCAGCATAGTATAGATCAAGGGTTATTTCTACTTTACATCCGATAAAGGTTATGGGTGATGTTTTTTACATTGATCTGCACACACCAATACGAAGTTATATGTATTTTCATGTGTATATAAACAGTAAAGATATACTGATATATTTCACCTGATGTAGCATAGTATAAACGAGATACATCAGCTTGTCACAATAATCTTTGAATTGAATACGAAAATGACTTGATGGACGGAGCCCAGCGTTACTCTCGTCTTAAATTTCAATGACTCTACTTAATATGTAAATACACATACCAAAGGTGTTTATATAGTAATCAATCAAAATTACTCCATTAATAGTTAGCATCTTGACTCTGAGGAATCACCATTATTGAGTCCAATTTGTCCAAATTACATGTGAAAAAAGCTTGGAGTGTCGAAATTACAACCGATTAAATTAATGCCGATCAAATTATGAGGGACCAGTCACATCGCGCCACCTCATCAAGTGATTATTATGGTCGGAGTTTCCACCCTACGAGTAGAAATAGAGGTTCATTTGTAGAGACTTGACACACAGCTACATAGAGCTCGAGAATTACAAGAGAGAATAAACGAATCATCTCTAGAGAATATACAAATTATCTTTTACGAGTTCATCAAAGTTCTACGGTGCTCTTCGCCACATAGACAAGGCGTTCATCGTAGAGCTGTACAAATTCTAGCGTTTAATTCGAGATTACGGTTAAAAACCCTCGAAATAACGTTATTGAAATCTGAAAGTACACATTCGGGAGGCATTAATTCCATCGGATTATATATAAATGAGTTCCTCACAAGTTCTTCAATAAACATACGTTTGATTCGAGAATAGTTATAAAATTCTTGAATTAAAGTTATTGAATTATAAAAGTCAAAATTACAAATCGTTCGTTACCCGTTCATCAAAATTTAATGTTTGATTCAAGAATAAGTTCCAAAACCCTCGAGTTAATGTTATTAAAGTATAAATTAATATCCGGAGGAGATCGAAAGGTGATCAGTCGGGGGACTTGAAATAGAAATAGCAAGATTAAAAATTGCGACTTTTTTGTGTGGGCGTGCATCGAGGTTTTTCTTTTACAGAATAGACAATATTTTTTTTTAGATAACTGGCTATAAATAATCGTACTACACTATATAATTCGTACTTACACTTTTGGAACGAATCGAGCTTGGTTTGGTCGCACATATATTTACACAGAGACACTGCATTTTCTCCATGGTTAATAAACTTGAGTAAGCAAATCGGGTATTTCGCAAATTATCAGTCTTTACCTCTTTTCCGCTTCAAAAACCGAAACCGGGATAAATCACTTAAATCTCCGTAGCAGCTTACTCCCAAGACTTCAACTTTTCGATGAGCAGCTATTTTCGAGGAATATAGAGATTCTCCGAGTATAAGAAGTCCAAGAATTCAGTTCTTGATAATTCTTAATTTTATTTTCCTTTTCACCTTTTGAACTGCATTAATCAAATAAAATAGATTAGACTCAAACTATTTATAAATTAAAGAGAGCACGAACGAAGCCAAGAACGAACACAGAAAAAATAAACGATACATCGGTCTTCACTCTTTAGTCAACGACACGCAATATTGGGTCCGTGTTGACCAGTTTTCGCTAAAAGAAATAGAAAATCAAAACCGGCAATAAATTATTGAAAATAGTCGGTTGGTCGGGTAATATCAGCTCAACTGAATATTGTTCACAATTTATATTTCTTTTGAATAATCGACACTAATTTCCCGATTAGTAACTGTCAAAACTACCGATCAACGGCTACTCAAATTTTCTTACATAAGAAGAGACGAAAGTATATACCTTTGTTACCTTTCAATAAAGAAGTGAAGCATGCTCGTATCGGAATCCGAGGGCACAAATCCAAATATAAATTAAACCGGCTTCAGAATACTCTTCCTCCGTTTGATGAGTCCATTCATTAAAGTAATATAAGTCGACTTATTTACCGAAACACCCTTCTCAGTCTGTTCCGTAAATATATGCATGGCATCTTTATACCTCCCTTCACCGCAAAGCTCGGTAATCTGTTCCGAACAAGCCACCGTATTCGAATCCGATTCATCCGAACCTTCACTACCAACTACACTCCGTTCGTCCTCGATTTTCACCATCGGATTTTGAATTAGTTTATTCCTTTCCGACATAATCGACAATAGCTCCTCAGCTTCTTTAGTTCTCCCAGCATCGTTAAGCGCGCCGATGATCGAATTAAACGTGTAGTTATCGGGCCCTAGTTTCTTTTCCGCCATGTCATCAACGAGTCCCAAAGCTTCCTCGAGCCTCCCTTCCTTACACAAGGCTGTTATTAACGTATTGTACGTAACAGCATCGAGATTCTTCCCTTTCGAAACCCACGTATCGAAAAGTTTAATAGCTTTCTCGATCATACCCCCGCAGCACAGCCCTCGTAATAGAATGTTGCAAGTATATATATCGGGCTTGAACGATTTTTCGACCATTTTGTTGTGAAATTGAAACGCTTTCTCCACGTTTCCCTCCCAACAATACCCGTGTATAATTGTGTTGTACGTCGTTTCATCGGGTACCAATCCATTCTCCAGTAACTCATTCAGCTTCGTTATTGCTACATCGGTTTTCCCCAATTTACAAAGCCCGCCTATCAAAGAATTATACGTAATAATACTCGGAATAATATCCTTCTCTTTCATTTCATCCCAAATCTTCATAGCTCTCTCTGATTTCTCGTCTTTAAAATACCCAACAACAAGAGTACCGTAACTCACCTCGTCTACGATATAGCCTCTCTTATTAGCGAAACTAAGCAACTCGTACGCCTCGCTTAGCTTCTTCTCTCGGCATAGATTGTGTAGAGCGGTGTTGAGCGTCACCGTATCCATTTTCAAACCTTTCCCACCCATTCGATTCATCGTCTTAAAAGCCTCCGCCAAATCACCCGCTTTACAAAACCCGCTTATCAAAGTATTATAAGTAATGCAATCCGGCGAAAACCCGGTTTCTTCCATTCTTTCGACCATCTCACTCGCTTCTTTCATCTTCCCTTCTTTACAACACCATTTAATCATAATATTATGAGTCACCTCGTTCAGTTTCACTCCTTTCTCTCTCATCTCATCCACTAACTCGAAAGCTAAAGAACCCCTTTTCGCCTCGAAACAACCGTTAATCAAAGTGTTGTAAGTGATGACATCGGGCGACAACTTCAGTCCTTCCATCTCGTCTCTCAGCTTAAACGCCTCGTCGATCCTACCCGTTTTGCACAACCCGTTAATCAACATGTTGTACGTCCAAACGTCGGGCAACAAGTTGTCCTGAGTCATTAACTCGACGATCTTGGCTGCGTCTTTTAACCATCCTATCTTACAATACCCGTCGACCAAAATGTTGTAAGTATTCCTATTCGGCAAAAGACCCTTGCTTTTCATATCCAGCAACAAATCACGAATATCGTGCAAGCGCCCTTTCTTACACATGGCGCCCAATATCGTGTTGTAGCTCGCGTTGTCGGGTTTACACTTGAAATCAACTTCCATTTTCTTCAACAACTCCAATGCATCCTTCAACTTATACTCCAGACAGTACCCGCTAATTAGAATATTGAAAGTAACGACGTTTGGGGCGATACCGAGTTTCACGGCGTCGTTGAACAATTCGTTGCAGAAACGGGCTGAGCGGGAAGAAGGGTCCTTCTTCACCAGAGCACTGAGCAAGGTGTTGAGAGTGAGCAAGCGCGGCGGGAGTTTATGGCGCTTCATTTTCTTGAAAATCTGGGCGGCGAGGTGGGGCCAGCCGGAGCGGCAGTAGGCGAAGATGCAGGTGTTCAGGAGGGTTTTGGACGGCGGCGGGAGAGGGCGGCGCATGGGGCGGAGGTGGCGGTGGTGGAATTTTTTAGAATGTCGGTGATGGTGGAGATTAGTTGTGCGGAGTTCAATGAAAGTGGCGGCGGCGGTGGCGGAGAGATGAGAGGAGAGAGAGGAGAGGGTTGCCATTGTTTCTTCTCTTTGATTTATTTTTATTCTTTTTTCAAATTAGGGCTTTTGTTACAGTGAAGTGGTAGGGGTTTTGGGGGAAGAGAGAAGGGTGCAGATTGCAGCCATTTTTTTTTTCCTCTTAGAGTTTCTATTTATTAATTATAATTTAAAAATTATTTCGAAGAAACATAGTTTCAAATAATAATAATTTATACTTAGCCGATTATTATTATTATATTTTTTTTCTTATTGCTAGCTTAATAATAAACTTTTTACAATATTTTTCTTCAATTTTATATTATATTTTTTGATTCATTTATTGGACAGGGTGTTCCAACAGTCTTATTATACTCTTAACTTTTTTTTTTTAAATATTTTGCTTGTTTTATATATTAGTTATCTACGATTTGTTCGACCCTACACACGGTGAAAAACATTGGGTGGGTCTTCTGCTGCCACGTGTCTTTTTTTTGTATTTTATAATAGATTCCCCGCTAGGGTTTACCTTTAGGAGGTTTTAGAAAAATAAAAAATAAAACACGTGGCAGTAGAAGACTCACCCGGTGTTTTTCACCGGGTGTAGGGTCGAAGGAACCGTTATCTACATAGAAGTGGAGGAGTATAACTTTAAAAAGAAAAAAAAAAACAATTTAACATAATTAACTATAAAATTAAAAATTGAACAAAATGCACTTCGCCCTCCATAAATTTTCCATTTCGCACTTTTCCCCCTAAAAATAAAAAAGGGGATGTTCCCATTCGAAATAATATTTTGGTACTTTGCCGTGGAAGCTAATTTTTTGAGGGCTTTGTGCAATAAAAATAATATTTTAAAGGAACAATGTGCAAAAAAATGATGTTTAACAAAAATAACATTCAAAGAGGTAAAATGCAACAAAAATACTCAATTTCGATTACTAACTCATCGGAGTTTTGCTATCGAGGGCCGAGACAATGCGTCGGAAGAATAACATTTTGAAATGGACATTCACTTTTAATAACATTGAGAGAGTAAAGTACAAAAGTTAGAAATTTACAGGCCGTGATGCGCAATTTACCCAAATTTTAATTTTGTAAACTATTATTTTTAATAAATTAAATTTATTTTTATAATTTAATACACTGGAGCCTATCTTTTTTTAGTTATATAAAATCAAAAATAAAATGATAAAATATAAACAAACTCCAAGTAAAGTATAATTCCCACTCATTAGTTTGGCAGCCACATGAATAGCCTGCCAATTCACCACCTGCCACCCAAATCCACCACCACCGCCGCCGCCGCCGCCTCATACACCGCCATCTCCAGCTTTCTCTCAATACCCAATTTTTCTGCCGGACCACAATCATACTCCCTTCATCGTCGCCGATTTCGAATCAACAAGTCCTTATCACACTCATCCTCGTACAGTAATCAGATGGCCGCTGCTAACTCCGACGAAATTAGGGCGTCGCCTTCTCCGACGGTTATCAGTCTGAAGCCCATCGAAGCCACCCCTGAGAGCTTCCATGAATTCGGTCAGGTGATAGTTGCCTCGCCGGACGGCGATGAATTTGGGCCGCGCGACGCACAGCTCGACCTCTCCCATGGAATCCCTAGGTAAACCCTATCTCTCTACATCTAATGGCTGTTAGTGTGTTTGTGCGTATGTTGATTGCAGAATTAATTGATTTAATACTTCTTATTTTTACATCTTCAATTGTTGTGGAAGTGCTTTCAAGCAGCTTATAAGCTGCTTAGTTCTGAAGCTATTCAGCTGCTTGTAAGCTTCTTTTTATCTTCCTGCTTGATTAACTCGGAGACAAGGAAGAAAGGAAATGTGGTTTATTTGAGTTGTTAGTGGGGAAAAAATGGTAAATTACGGCCACCCGCGCTGAGGTAAGGTCAAATTACGAGAAAAAAAAATCGCTCATGTTTGGATGATTACAATCACCCCTCAATTATGAATCTTCTTACACGTCCACCCTTGTGGTGTCAAATTTACGGAATCTTGTAGATTATGTGGAATATTCTCCAACTTGTACCCGTTTTATCCCATTCGAGCTACACATTATGAAACAATCGAACTACACATTATGAAGCAAGATGATTATAAGATGTGTCTCTTGTTGTCTCTTGCTATGTAAATATCAGATTGTGGTGCAATCTGCATTTTTTCACAAAACGAATACAAACTAGAGAATATTCTACGGAATCTTTAAATTTATCACCATAACAGTCAAGAAAATTTATACTTGAGGGGTGTTTGTAATTACCCAAACAGTAGGATTTTTTTTTCTTAATTTGACCTTACCTTAGAGGTGGCCGTAATTTACGCTTGTTTTAAAAGGTTAAGGTTATAGCATTCAGGTCGGGAACTTTATTTGTTTAAATGCAGACAGAACAATAAGGCGACTAATATAAAACAAAATTAATAAATTTAATCAGGTTTTACATAATGCATCTTGAGGACAGACCACTCGAGTTTTCGACAATTACACACCACGCCAGCGTGACACAGTGCCTAGGTTCTATCGGTGGTCATGTTTGGTACCTCGGAGTTGCTAAACCATCCACCATTGATCCAAGTGAAATTACGGGAACCGTTGGATCAAATCTCGTCCAATCACACTGTGGACATTTCTACGCCCCTCCCAAAATTGATGATGTTCGTGTTTTCAAGATTGCGGGCCCCACGTTTTTGAAGCTGAATCGGGGTACGTGGCATGCTGGACCGTTGTTTCTTGAAAAGACAATGGATTTCTATAACCTGGAACTGAGCAATACTAATGTGAGCACTTTTCTATCTCATTTGGCTTTTATCTGCTTTGCTTGCTTGAAGTTTGGAGGTATCTGTATATATTGAATTATTCGATTTTTTTTTTTTTAATGGGCAGGTGATCGATCATACGACGCATAATTTTGCCAAGAAGAACAATGTTATTTTCTCTTTCGTTGAGTAGCAGTTGTCTGCCGATGTTGAAAATATTTGTATCTTTGTTTTTCTGTTGTTGTATGAAACTTAGCTCGAGTTCGCAATTTTAGCAATAAGGAAAATAGTATGATATGTACAAGAAGATTATGAGTTATGTTCTTTTATCAAAGCTCAATTCAGTTAAAATAAACCAATTTCGTGCAGTGTTTTTTTATGCTCCATAAAAATTTAAATAAATCAACTCGATGATTTCTCCATAAATTCAATGAATTCCCGCTCCAACTTTAACAAGTTGAACGGAACGATCAGCATAAACCTTTTTGGAAGTACAAAACACACACTCCCAACGAGCAGAAAGTACAGAACCGACGAAAAAAAATATTTCAGCCAAGAATCACTGCCAAGATCCAGATTCCGATTCTATTCTGCCCCGAAACTTATTTTATCCATGAAAAACGCACAATTTCGTCGATTCAATGTATCACCTCAGATTTAATAGCTGCAAAACAAAATTATCGAACTTAATTTCAAGATAGTATAGGTCTCTTTTCAAATTAACATTTAGTTAGATTAACAAGAATTCAAGATATTACGGGATAAAAAGGACCGAGTTGTAATATTGTGGGGGAAGAAAAACGATTAAAAAGCTGACCAGAGTTATCAAGGCTGATAAACATCGGGAAGCTGAAGCCCGACACTTGCGGCAGATTTTCCGAGCACCTTTTTCATCTCATCTGTCCTATCCACCGCTATATTATACGAAAAAAGCAACTCCTGCATCTCAAACCATAATGTAATAGTTACGACAAATTTATTGACTTCATTATTCTAAATAATTTCAACATTAACGAGAAGCCGAGCACACGTGTACTAATACTAGAGAACTGGGGCTCATTACGGTGCGGTGTAGCTATTTCTTCTTTCAAAAAAAATACGGAAACACACACACACACACACACACAATCGCATCTTAAGCCATTAATATGCAAATCACATCTTAAACAATGGCGAATGAATTAAAAACAGACATATTTTAAACTGCTACAATTGATAAACATATGCACAAGGGATGGAAATCGGATGGAATGGATCGGAAATAGCTTTTTTTGGAAAATTTCTAATTATTTTCGAACGTATAAAAATGGGTTCCAATTTTCGTTCCAAAAAAATCGTAACACAAAAGTTCATTCCGATTTCGGAATGCCTCGAGAAGCAATCAAAACTAAAATCGAAATTTCCGGTAATTTTATACACCATTCCGATTCCGTTCCAAATAAATTTGGAAAAAAATCGGAAATCAGAAAGAAAAAAATAGTTTCAAATTCGGATATTTTGCGGATCGGAATTGGCGGAAATCGGAAATTCCGATTTCGATTTCCACCGCTAATCAATATTCAATCATCTCATTGCATTTGCCATCAATACATAAAGAGATATGTAAGTCATTTCGGAAGAACAAAATGTTCAGCAGCAAACACTGAACCAGTAATAAAGCGCAATTCGACTTCCAAGATTTGATTTTTCTTTCTTTCTATTTTTTGTTTCTTTTTTTGGAAAAATAAAAAGAAATAGGAACTAGGGTTTAGATATGATCAATCGCAGCCTTGCAGAACATAATCACAGCATTAAAAATAAAATAAAATAAATAAAAATTGACACTAAACCTTGTGGTGGTGGACGCTGTTGAGATAGAGAGTGTAATCATGGGCGAGCTTCAAATTAATAGGGTTTTGTGAATTTTTGAATTGTTGGGTGATGAAATCTGTGAAATGAGATTTGTGTTCTTCTTTTCCGATGTGTTTTCTCACTGCTTTTATAAGGTTTCTGTAAGCCCCCTTTGCCGCTGTACCCATCTTCTTCTTCTTCCTCTTCTGTACACAAACCAAAATTTTGAATAACCCTAAAATTGATTGATAATTGATGGCAAATAGAAAAATTGGGGAGAAAAAGAAAAGGAATAGTTGGTAAATTTCCTTACAGAGAGACGATAAGAACAAATCCGGGATACCCAGAGGCAGAGGCTGGAACAATGAAATCCGTGGTTGAATCAAGCTGAAACCCAGCGCAGGTAATATAACTAGAAATTAGGGGTGGAAATTTATATTAAAAGAAGATTAGGCGGTGGAAATTTGAATAAAAAACATTTGGGACCATTTCTTGGTTTAATAGGGGTACATATCCTATTTTTTTCACTGTGTTTAACCTCCCAACTTAAATCACTAAATCGGCATTACACCTAAAATTATGATGATTTGGTTTTAGTCTCCTATTGTGGTCAAACCACATATCACCATATTATTAAATCCTATATTTTCACCAATTTTTTTGGTGAAGAAATTTGCAACTCCCACCCTATCACTACTTTACCAATTTTTTCACCAAATCCTATTTTTTATATCAAATATAGAAATTAAAATAGGATTTGGTGTAATTAACACCATTTTATAATTAGTATATAAAATTATTATATTAACTAATTTCATGTGATTACCAATTTATAAGCATATTTATAGAAAATATATTAGTGTTAATTAATGAATTAGTGTTCAAAAAATAAATACATTACTTATTATTATTATTATTATTATTATTATTATTATTATTATTATTATTATTATTATTATTATTATTATTATTATTATTATTAAATAAATATAAATACATTTGGCTCTAATAAGTTATAAAGTTTATACAATAAACATGTTTATTATCAAAAACCAACAAAAACATAACATTATAACGTAACATAATAAATTACAAGACAAAATATATAAATGAAATACATAAACTACTTAGCAATTTTTTTTTTTCTAGCCAAAATAAAATTTTATTAATTCAAAGGGGCCTCGTTAAAACCTTGTTTGGCCTAACAAGGAAAGAGTACCCCTTACTTTCTAAGATTAATAGTCTTGACTATCATAGTTCAAATTAGAGAAATGTCCATCGCCAGTAGGTTCGCCATAGTTGCATTCTCTGTTGTTGTTTGGAGATTCCGGGACGTAAACATCTTCATCACTTGGTCCACTCCCCTCTCCACTAAAATTCAAATTCCTAGCAGCTCCTGACCTGCTTCCCCTATCAATGATGGCTTGTTTTTTTATCACTCCATAATTGTTTACTAAAGGGTGTGAGAGTACTCAAATCCACTCTCATAACCTCCATATCTTGTTCAGAAGCCTTTAATTTTAGTTTTTTTTCCGTATTGTCTTCTTTTTTCTGCTTAAGGCTCGCCAATAAATCCGAACGTGCTTCTCTTTTTCTCTGCATATCTAAGTACTCTTCATGCTGTTTTTGCATAAGATCTTGGCTCTTTCCAACACTGTTCATCATCTCCTGCCACATGGGATCCTTTTCCTTTGTGAGTCTTTTTTTTGTTTTCGCTCCTTTCATTCCCCTTGGTCTGTCATGTGAGTCACTATGTCCAAGAAGAGATGATGAACTATCTCCAAGAGGAGATGAAGTACCGTATTCATGGGAGATGATGTACTCGGCTGAATTGGTTCAGCCCATTTCACGTGAAATTTTAATATTTTCCAAGCATGATCAAACTTAAAGGGTTGATTTTTGGGTTCTTTGATGATATATAGTTCTTTGGCCTCCGCAAACTGTAAAGGTTAGTAATAAAAATGTTTATTGGGAATAAATTATAATTAACTATTTTTAAGTATTAATAAGACATATACTTACCATGCTTTCAGCATTGCCACCGCTCTGGTTTCGAGCTGTAACTTGAATAAGTGTTGCCCGGAACAATGTGCACGAAGAAGCTATTTTGTCGAACCGAGAACTTAACGACCTCAAGTTTCTGTGCTCCAAATTATTTACATCAACAGCTTCGTGGTTGTAGTAGTTTTGTATTTTCGCCCACAAATCGTCTTTGCTCTGATATGTTCCGACCGCACTATCAGTTGAATGATGTACATATGCATTACAAAGAATCTCGTCCTCAATTACTTTGAATCCAAGACCCCTTTGACTCATCTTCTTTTTAGAAATACTAATACTATTTGTCTGAAGGAAAATATGGTGAGAGAATGATTTTGAGTGGTGAAGAACATAATAATTGAATAGTATATATAGTAAATAATATTATAAAACTTCACTGAAATGACTACACGATTTTGTGATAACACATTAATAGTTTATGCAGACTGAAATGACAATTCACATTAATAGTTTCTGCAAACTAAAATCCAATACACATTAAAAGTTAAAGAAGCACATTTATTATTGAATGACAAAACATGAATGACAACACATTAAAAGCTATACAAACTCTACAGAGCCACAAGTTTCCTGCAAATATAGATGTTAGCAAGTGCTATGGACCCCACAATAAAGTTATTATTTTCTACTTTTGAAACGAATTGAATAAAGTAAAATCTATTAAAGTACCTCACAATAAATTGTCAATTTTATTCTCTCTTTTTGTTAGTAAATCTCCGTGAGAAAGAGCCAAAACAAATACGTCAAAATTGCTAGAATACGAAAATGCAAAAAACAAAAACAATAAATAAAAAGTAACATATGAAGAGACAAAGACATGAAGCCCATATCTGAGATAGGGCCTATATATTAATTTGAGATAAGAATCATTGAGAAAAGTATGTCTTGCAATGATTTACGTGATAACTTGCAACTAGTATTCTATAAGTTAATGATGGTGAAGGTATTACACATCAAACCACTACACATCAAACAATGAATCACAAAGCAGGACCATCTCACTATATTTCAAGCCAATCATCTTCATCATCTTCATCTACCAATGAATCTGATCCTGAAGATTCTTCAAACGAGTTTGATATTCAAACTCGAAACACAAATTATATATGGAATTATACCATTCAACAACAACAAATGATGCAACAATATTATTTATCGCAATCTCAGGATCATGTTACCTGGGGTGGGGCTATTGATGGCCATGCATATACGGATCGTGGAAGGGAAGCTGGCGCAGTTCTATTAAAAAATGACTACTTTGGTGAAAATCCCACATACGACACACAATTCCGCAGGCGATTCCGGATGATTCGTGATTTATTTCAACGAATTAGGAGGGCTTTAAAAGAACACTCAACTTCATGGAAGAAATCGTACGACAGTACAGGACGACAAAGTTTTACGTCTTATCAAAAAATGTGTGCATCTATCCAATTTCTTGGTTACGGTACTTCTGCTGATTCATTTGATCAATATTTTCGGATTGCTCAGTCAACTCTAATCAGATTTGTTAAAAAAATTTGCCGTCATATCGTCAAGGTATTTGGTGAAATTTATCTGAGAAATCCAAATTCGGAACACATTGAAAAATTGTTACAAGTTGCAGAATCTCGTGGTTTTCCTGGGATGTTGGGGAGCCTAGATTGCATGCACTGGGAGTGGAAAAATTGCCCAACAGCTCATGCAGGGGCATACCGTGGACGCAACAAAAAATGCACTATCATACTTGAAGCAGTAGCATCGCATGATACTTGGATATGGCATGCATTCTTCGGCCTCCCAGGTACAAATAACGATGTTAATGTCCTACAAAAATCAACTCTATTTCAAGCATTAACCAATGGTACATCTATACCAGTTAATTATTCGATCAAAGGTAGGAATTATGATGTCGGTTATTATCTAGCTGACGGTATTTATCCTAAATGGTCAACTTTAGTACAATCCATTCGTGTACCCAAATGTGCCAAAGAAACTTATTTCGTACAGAAACATGAATCATATCGCAAAGATGTAGAACGAGCATTTGGAGTTCTTCAAGCTCGATTTGCAATTATTAGAGGAGCGGCTCGATTCTGGAATAAAAAAGACTTACATGATGTCATGTTTGCATGCATTATTATGCACAATATGATAGTTGAGGAGGAACGTAGTGGATATCTAAATGTCATTCTTGACTATGAAAGTTCACCCACTGTCCCTCTAGCTGAACTTTCAAGAGATATCAATAATACGAAATATGTTAGTTTTCTTGGTCGACATCGGAATTTGATAAATCAAGGAGAACATAATGAACTAAGAAGAAGGCTGGTAGCACATTTGTGGGATAAACGTGACCAACTAGATGGTGTTGAAGATGATGACGACAATAATGGTGAATGAGACCCTATGCTAATAAGGGGTACTCTTTCCTTGTTAGGCCAAACAAGGTTTTGATAAGGCCCCTTTGACCTTCGAAATTATCAATGCAATAATTTATTTTGGCCAAAAAAATGTTGTAATGTTTTTTTTTAAACCGTGTTGTAATATTTTTATGCATTTAGTTATGAAATTATTGTTTATGTGTGGTTTTATTATATGTATAATAATTTACGTCGATTTTCATTCATGTTTCAATAGTTTTTTAAAATTTAATATAATTCTAAGATTATATAATCAATAAAATTATTACTTATAATCGGATCTATAATCAATATTTTTAAAATTAAAATAGATTAAAATTATGATTAACATTAAATTATAATTTTGTGATATATTTTATGAAATACTATGGGAGACCAAACCAAATGCTATTCTCTATAAATAGGAAAATGGTGAAATATTATTATTTTATTGTTTAGTGTAAAATTTGTTGAAATTGGTGGGAGACCAAATGCACTATTTTTTCACCAAAAGTAGTGAAATTATAGAATGGTGTGCTAAGGGTGGGAGATAAACCCATTTTTTCACCACCAAAAATAGGATTTGGTGAAAAAATGGTGATTAGGGTGGAAGATGCTCTTAACAAAAGATTAGGGGTTGAAGTTAAAATAAAAACATTTGGACCATTTCTCGATTTAATAGGGGAAGAAATTTATATTAAAAAACGATTAGGGGTGTAAATTTAAATAAAAAATATTTTGACCATGTCTCGATTTAACAGGGGTAGAAATTTATATTAGAAAGAGATAAGGGGTGGAAATTTAAATAAAAAACATTTGGACCATGTCTCGATTTAATAGGGGTGGAAATTTATATTCAAAAAAAAAGATTAGGGGTGGAAATTAAAAATAAAAACATTTGGACCATTTCTGGATTTAATATGGGTAGAAATTTATATTACAAATAAGATTAGCGGTAAAAGTTGATGATTTAATAGGGGTGGAAATTTATATTAAAAAAAGGTTAGGGGGTGGAATTTAAATAAAAAAAAAATTTGGACCATTTCTCGATTTATGCGTGTCATCCTTGCGCAGGGGCCATGCTAATCTTCTCTGTATCGTTCCAATTTTATCGGATGTCCCCGAAGGGGCAATATATACTACTGAAAATCGTGTATAAAATGAATGGAAAAGCATTGTTTTTTCGATGTGGGACAGAAAATCGTGTAAATTAGCTGGGCGATAGCGGATGGGCCTGAAATTGATGGGCCGGGCTGAGTTTTTGTTGTATATCTAAAATTTTGTATACACTCTTTGAAACATTATATTTAAAAACATATTATATATATATATATATATATATATATATATATATATATATATATATATATATATATATATATATATATATATATATATATATATATATATATGTTTTCTTTTGAACAGGTTTATATTTCATATTTCAGATTATGCATATGAAGAATTAAATAGTTAAAGTGGTATTGGTTAAAATATTACTTTTGGAAATAACAAATAATAAAAATATGATATGATATGTGAATGTAGGTTTATGACTTCATTCTATGCTATATTCAGTGAATTTATAATATTTTACTATAAATGTGTTGATATATACATATTTTATACAAATCTATATGTATACATGTGTAGTTGTGTAAAACTACAATATCGTATAATAGCTGCAAACCATATAAGAGAACGTATATTACACTAAGCTAATCGTGTGTGACAAGCTCGACCTAGGGACCATTGACAAGAAAATTCAAACCTAGTTATTTGATATATATTCACCTGCTCTAATCGCTAGGTCAACACTTACGGGACGGATACTCGTATTTCTACACACATAGTTTTACCATTTAGAGTAGCGGTGTTACGAATCAAATAGAACGAAACACATGGTTGCTCAAAATTGTTTGATTTTTCTATAAATATTGAACAATCAAAATTGCGTAGGAGTTTTGTTTGATAACCAATTGAGTTGAGTCCGAATGACAGGTCTAATCGAGTCAGACAAACACAAATCGAATTCGAGTAGTTTGGTTTTTCTATACATCTTTTATCTCTTTTTCATTTTTTTTATTGAACTCGAGCGAACTTCATAACTTATCGAATGAAAATATGTGTTAAAAGTTGATTCGCTATGTTTAAAAAGAAAAATCAAGCTCAAGCGATCTCTAATTAGAAGCTAATTTTCGTGAATTGAATGTGTAAATATGACGAATTACACAAACAAACAAAAAATCGTTTAGCATGTTCGACATCGCTAAAAAATAATCAAACTAAATAATAATGCCACAAAAATAAGAGAAAATAATTATTAATGAGTTCAATTAATTAAGCCATGAAAAAATCATCTCATAAAGCATGAGAATAATCATTACATGTCAATTGTTACAATTATATTTCCTAGATGCAGCATTACATGTTAGAGAAACAAATCATAACAATAATAATAATAATAATAATAATAATAATAATAATAATAATAATAATAATAATAATAATAATAATAATAATAATAATAATAATAATAATAATAATAATAATTAATAACAATGAATGAATTAGATTCCTAAAAATAAAAAAATGAAAATAAAAAAAAAATAAAAAAAAATAAAAATTGGAAAGAAAGAGCCACTACAGATATGATAATAGTTTTGTTCTGAGCAGCAATCACTCTCCCCTATTTGTTGTACTTATTTTCCTCTTTTGCCCTTTTCCCCCTAATTGCTCTTAACCACCATTTTTCTCCAAAATGTACCTATTTATTCCACAGCCAGACAAACTGCAACATGTAACATATCAGTTCATAATCATTATTCAAATATATAATATATTTTAAAATTAATAAATATATTCATAACCCAAAATTAAAAATTAAACAAAAAAATCATCTATCTATGAATTATATTTAATTTGAGTACACCAAACTTATTTAAATACAATCTCCCTCCATTTTTTTAAAACCAGTATTGGTGTTTGGTTAAACTTATAAGATTGTTAAGAAAAAGTTTATAAAGTGATTAACGACTTATAAGCTCTGCCAAAGCGCTTAGTAACTTTTCTTAAAAATATTTTAAAAATTCGAAAAATAAATTGCGGATAAGCAAATAAGATTGTTTCTAAAAATTACATTTATCCCACCTTTTTATTTAAAATCTTATAATGAATAAAAATAGTTTATAAGATCAATATCGAAACACTGAAAAAATTATACCTAAAATAAGACGTAACAGCTTATCAGCTCTTAAAAAAACTTATCACAAACATGTCCTAATAATATTCATGTATTTCATGTATTGTTTAATATTTAAGAGATATCAATAAAAAGGGCAAATTGAACTACATGTGTAAGAAATTTCTGCAAGGTGCATATAAAATATTAATTTTAATATTTAATTTATTATTTTGGGATCAATTAATTGTTTAATCTGATGATTCCATTAGCCACTCACATGGTCATGGTCAGATACACTTTTGACCATGTGATATAAAGATTCTTCTTTCTGATTAAAATCTTTTCTTTATTATATATCTAATTGTATATATATATATATATATATATATATATTTATGATGAATAAAGGTGGCAAGCATGCTCTATTTGATCTATCTTTTCTTTTCTTTTATATAGAAATTCGTGTAATTAAAAAATATATATATAATTAAATTTAATTTGTTATATAAAAAAAAAAGAAGACGAACGATCGTTTTCATATCTTTCGAAATATATAAAAAAATCATTTAATACAAATAAAAACATGCTCAACGAAACTATAACGAAAAAAGTTGAACCGAGGCGAATTAACAAATAATTTTTATAAAATTAATTTTTGCAATAATTAAATTTAATAAAGATAAAAAGAAAATATTAATTATTAAAATGAGTGAGAAATAATTTACCCGCAGCATTAGGAGGGGCAATAGAAGTGGGCTTGGAAATGAGAGTGGGTATTGGGCCAGCTGGCGTGGGTGAGTACACGTGGGCAGGAAGGCCCATTGTCTGTGATTGGTGGAAATAGAGAGGGTACATCGGTTGAATCAGTGTGTTCGCACCTACCATAGCCTGCCCCTGGTACAATTGACTATAATGCCCATTCATGTAGGACCCACCATTGTAACCTAGCTTCTGCGCATACAACACCACCACAAATTTTCATTTTAGTAATCAATTTCATATTATTTTGGTTTTATACCTTGCTACATCGGGGGAAATACACTGGTTACATTTAACCATTCATAATCACATTAATACACACATACCCATATTGGTGTGTAAATCAACGATAAAGAATCAACCTGGTATAACTTTCACAGAAATAACCGATTATTTGTTCGAATGTGTGTGAATATATATATATATAATAATAATAAAAAATAAGCGACAGCATATACTTGCAATTTGACAGCTATACACTATAAAAATTGTCTCTTGGAGAAATTATGTAAAGTCATATATTTGCACTGAATAAATCTCTTTTTTGTTTAATAATATTTGAATTTCCAAAATTTCGTGCTGACGACAAGCTTGAGTTGACATAGAAAAGTTTACTAATTAAGGAGATTCAACTCGAGTTATTAGACATTGCGATTTCCTTGTTAGGCCGATTAGATCACGTGATGATATGTTATGAATTAGTCACATGATCGATAAATAACGATTATTTGATAATTTTTGCAACCAATAATTGGAGGTAATCGGTAACGCATGCAGCGAATATTATAACAAATCTCGATTTAATTCGAAATTTAATATATATATATATATATATATATATATATATATATATATATATATAGAAGGACATTACTTACATGATTGTAATTCATGTCGGTTGTTGCAATGTAGGTAGGAGAGTAGCCGTAGAACGGAACCGCCGCTTGGTGGTGGTGCTGATGCGGGTGGAAGGGAGGAGCCGCCGCTGCAGCCGCCGCAGGTGTACCCGCTGGATAGTACCATTGCACGTGACTAGGAGGTGGTGTCGTTGACCCTCTAGCCCTTGGTCCAACATTCACTCCTTCATTATTTCCCAAAATAAAATAAAAACGCATCTTAATTACATTTCGGATTTTATTCCAATAATAACAATAATAACAATAATAATAATAATAATAATAATAATAATAATAATAATAATAATAATAATAATTAATATTTAATAGCACCAAATTAGATTCCATAAAAGTGCAATTCATGAACAAACAGTTACAAAATGAGTTATACCCTGTTGAGGAGGAGTGTTGTTGTTGTTACTGGCGGCGGCGGTGGTGGAGGAGGATCTAGGACGGCGGGCACCAAGGGCGGCGAGATTGCAGTTGGCACGGCGGCCGTTGATGATCGGAGAGGGATCTTCACAAGCTCTCTTAGCGGCGTCGGCATCCTTGAAAGTAACCTAAATAGATCACATATATAATATCAAACAACGTACAATTATATCATGTATATATATATATATAGATATAGATCTTCTGTATCTATATATGATGATGATAATGAGAGAATAGGAGGACTGACGAAGCCGTAGCCCTTGGATCGGCCGGTGAGCTTGTCGGAGATGATGACGGCCTCGAGAATATCGCCGTACTTGTGGAAGTGGTCCCTCATGGATTCCTTGGGAGTCTCCCATGCTAATCCTCCCACGAAGACTTTGGTCAACGATGTGTCTCCCATGCTCTGCACGCTCCCGCCATTGTTGCTGCTGCTCATCATCGTCATTTCTCTGTGTGTATTGAAGAGAGAGAAAGAGATCTAGAGAGAGAGAGAGAGAGAGGTGGTGAAAGAAAGACTGAAGAAGAGTGAAGAGTTTATGAGAATGGAGAAATATAAGTAATGTAATGTGTGTGGGATGACAGGATGTGTGTGTGTGTCAGTGTGTGTGTATATATATACATATAAATATATATATATATGGGAATAGAATAAAAAAGGAGAGAGACAGAAGGGCAGACAGATGGATCCTGGGTTGAGGCCAACATCAAACTTCAATGCTCTCTCTCTCTCTCTCTCTCTCTCTCTCTCTCTCTCTCTCTCTCTCTCTCTCTCTCTATTTATTTTCCTTTTTTATTTTTATTCCATTTGTACAAATATATTAATTTGTGTATAAATTGACGATATACCATATTCAATTTATATTCATCGAGTGTAATACTTATTAAAAATAAAATTGTACACATTTCCAATTTTCATTAGAAAACCCTAATACGTTTTATACCGATTTGTTGTTTTTTTTTAATAAAAGAATCGGTGGCCAACTAAAATAAAAGTACTGAGTAAAACTACAATTTGTTGTTTTTTTTTAAATAAAAGAACCGGCAGCCAACTATATAAAAGTATTGAGTAAAACTACACTCTCGTATAATAGCTTGCAAACTATACGAGAGATAATGCAACTAGTAATCGTTGGCGAGGGAATTCAAACCTAAGTCAACTGACATTTTAATTTCAGGGTACATTTGGTGTATGTTTTTTGCCCTCATAACTACCAGTGTACATTGTTTTTTTTTTTTTACACAAATAAACCTCTAGTATGTGTATTATACAAGTGTATAAAATATAAAAACAAATACAATGCATTATACATACTATGATTGGAATAAAATTGAGGAAGTTGATAGAAAATACTGGAAGCCACGTTGCTAGTTGCTTAGTAGTAACGAATATAGTACAGTTAGAGCCTCTCACGTTGTGGTGTGGTGTGTCCGAAACGGTACCGTTTTAAACGGTACGGCTAAAAGTTATTTAGCTGTCTTCTTGTTGACTGTGACGTATGTTTGACGTGTCCCAATTATTATAACTGCACGTGGAACCCAATTCACTATTTACTGAATAATTTCATGGACAGAAAATTACAAATAAATAAATAAATCTAGATATGCTCTTGAATAATTGAAAAGAGTGGCGATTATTCCAGTTAATGATTTTTTATTTATCTCTAATTAAGTATTAAATATTTTTTTGATTGTTCTCTTATTTGTGTATAAATGATTTTAAAAAAAATTAAATATATTATACTTACAAAACCTTTAGAAAAATTACTCATCATACTTTTAAAAACATAATTAAAAAAAATTGCTTGAAAAACTTTAAAAATATTAAAAACAAATTTATTCTTGTAAGTATATATAAAAAAAAAAAGAGAGAGAGAGAGAGAGAGAGAGAGAGAGAGAGAGAAA